GCGGCACATAACATTAGAGTTTCATAAGTTAACTTTTTTAATGACAATTTTAGTTGAAGATTCATGGGTAAAGACATATATTGTAAAACACCGTGAACATTCTCCCATGACCCTCCAAAACACAAATCTATCCAAACATGATCAACATTAGATGATTTCATTCTACAAATTGTAAATTAATTTACTAAACAAACGAGCTATAAACTAGATATCATCACTAACTTAGATAAAAATATACCTTTATTAAGTTGATAGTTGATAATTTGGGAGAGAAATCATTGAAAAATTATATAGAAATAAAATTATGTAAAAAAAAATAGAGATGGGGAAGGATGTCGTTGGATATAGGAACGGATGTCGCCGGAGAGAGTAATAGATGAAGATGGAATGAGTTGCGATTTAGGGATTTAAATTATGAGTTGTTGCTGCTTCGTAGTTTATGTACCTAAAACATTTGTGTTGCGAAAATAAAAGTTGTTGCTAATTCGAAAATCGAGTTGCAGAAACAAAATTCGTGTTACGATTTAGAAAATCTTGTTGCGAAAAGGAAACTTGTGTTGCGAAAAAGAAATTCGCGTTGCGAAAAAGAAATTGAGTTGCTAATTGAAATTCCGTGTTGCGAATTTGGAAATCGCGTTGCGAGAAAGAAATTCGCGTTGCGAATTTGGAAACTGAGTTACGAATTTAGAGTTCGCGTTGCGAATTCGAGATCACGTTGAGAATTTGTTGATCATTTTCACAAATATAAAAAAATTTAGTTAAAATCATATATTATAAGTCATTTTCGGTCTTATTTTCTCTAAAAACAAAACATAAAGCAAGTTAAAGACCACAAAACAAATTAAAGCAAAAACAGACATGTGCTCAGACAATTCAGCTTCCTCGAGCAAACAGCCAAAAGGACGGTGGAGACCAGAACGAGGAAGGGATCGGGCATTCACAGCAAAACAAGCCCAGAAAAACAGAGGATGGTAACCCAGAAATTATGGTGAGTCAATATGACGCCTATCCTCATCAGCGACAACAAGAACATCCATTGGAACATCTTCAATCCAGAATTTGTCTTCGGTACACTTCTTCCCTTCGCAGCAGCTGAATTACCTCCTCTGGGTGTAAATCTGAAGGTACAAGAGCGAAAATGGCTTGCCAAAGCTTTTGCATGACAGGTAAAAGGACGAATCAATGAGATGTCATTGGCGTTTAATCTCCTTCTAACACAATATCTTGGAAACCCAGATAGAGAGCAAAACGTAAACCTTGGACCACCGCCAAAGCCTTTGCCGCAAACACACTCTGCAGGTTTTTGTTGAGGCGAAAACCAGAAGCCATAATCAACCCAGCACTGTCACGAACCATGAAGCCGGAGCAAGATGAGGTACATGCAGAAGAGAAGCTGGCATCGACATTCACCTTTACTACGGAATCAGTGGGGGGCATCCAGACAGAATTCTCATGCACCTTTGAGTGATGGAAGCGACGAGAAAGTGACCCAATTTCTCTTACATAGCTTCGAATGAAGGTAACCACCTCCTCTATTCCTTGATTCGTGCTCTCTTAGATCAGCTTATTTCTAGCAAACCATATGGCCCATATAGTGATTGCAATTTCATTATTATGATTCTTACTATTGTTCTCCATTAGAGATTCTGGATCAGTAATTAAGCGCCATCCCTGTCGTGCTAACAAAGCAATGTTAAATTTACCAAGGTCACGAAAACCCATTCCACCATTTTCCTTAGGAAATCACATAGACTTCCAGGTGCACCAGTGAATTCCTTTTCTACTGTACGAGTGATGCCACCAAAACTTGGCGAACAAAGACTCCAAATCTGCACAAAAAGAACTTTGAAGCAAAAAGCAGGACATTGCGTAGACAATTCCAGCTTCATTAGCAAGGGCTGAAATTCTTTTTGATCGTCTACGTTGAAAAGCATACCTGTGAAAAAAGCCTGTGTTTGGATCTCCATGTTGGAGCCAGTTGGCCCTTGCTCTTTGCTTCCAATAGAGTTCTTCTCGGTCAGCTTCAATGTTCATAGCCAATTTAACTTGAGTGATTTCTCCAAGCACATCATCCGAGAGATCAGATGCATTTAATTTTTCAAGTCTTTTACATAAATCTTTCATTGAGATTTTCTTCTCACGCGTTATACGTTTGAACCACACTTCCAGGCCAGTGCTTACTTCTTTTAAACGAGTAGGAACAGTACCTCTAGAAGAACTCCAAAGACGTTTAACCTCTGCCTCGCACGAATCTTCTAAAAGCCAAGAGGCCTCAAATCGTAAATGCCACATTCTCATAGTTCGAAATGCCTCAACGTCCGTAGAGAGAAGGATCGGACAGTGATCCAAATCCAAAAAAGATGTGGGTAAATGTCCAAGCCTAAAATTGGGAAAAAGCTCCCACCAGTTTGTATTTGCAACCCCACGATCAAGACGCTCCAAAATATTATTCGTTTCCAGTCTGCCGCGTTCCCAGGCAAACCACTGGCCAGGATAACCCAAATCTTCGAAGTCACAATCTGTTAGTATCGCGCTCACTCCTTGGCAACCCCCCTTGCTTTTCATGAGAAAAATCAATCTCATTAAAATCTCCCATCACAAACCAAGGAGTCGAAGGAGAATCATTTAATTGCCAGGAAGCACGCCTATTTGAACCCACACCAATCACATTTACAAAACCACACTTTGACGAACTCTACTCATTCTCGTACTCTGTAATTTAGTTTCGATCTGGAAATTTACAGAGGGGTTTAAGTCTCTCAGCAGATATCGGAGACGTCGTACAGTCCGAAACTTTCCCAAGCCCCGGACATTCCAGCTTAGAAGTTTCATTGTGAACGGCGGGCCTGATTAACAAGGCCGGCCGATAGAGAAATAGAAACATCAGTTGAATCAGCATTAGAAACTCCCGATGAAGAGTTTTGAATTCTAAGACGTTTTGCCCCATCCGCATAAGTAACTGGATTTTCTTCCCCAACATTTGTCATCTCTACATCCAGGGCCACTAATTCCTTCCAGCATTTGGGCCCTCACATAAGGTTCATTAATTGCAGCTTTGACATTTTTTGTTCCCGTTAATGACATTTGTGAATGTAAGGAAACAGCAGGATTGGCACTAGTTTCTCCTTGAATTTTGGGATCTTCTGTTACCATCGAAGGCAAGTGTTTAACATTTGACACCCTCATCTCCTGAGATTGCGGAATAGAATCCCGCTGATTTTGGTTATCATCGTTTCCTTCCTCTCAACCATCTGCACTTCTGCGCCGCCGCCCGACGAGGAGGAGCACGGAGGCTAACATCCCGTCCGAAAACAATCTTCGTTTTATCCGTTGTCAATCGAACTGGACAAAAACTCTCCCCATGACCCATTCTTCCACAAATGAAACAAAAAATATGTATTTTTTATTACGCAAATCGTACGTAATGTGATGGACCTCCTAAAGTGGCAAGTCTCTTTCGACGTTTCGAAGGCTTTCGAATATCCAGTCGAACTTTGATACGCATAATTCCTTTATAATTCATATTAACAGCAGAGGAGTCATATTCTTGAAAAACACCAATGAAATTTCCTAAAATTTGAGCAACCGAAGTCGAAACAAAACCTGGGGGAACATCATGAACCTGCGCATATATCAACATTATCCAAAGGAACTTTCGCTGGATCCTCACCTGCTTTTAGACGATAAAGGATCAATATGTGAGAGTTAAAATTCCATGGTCCTCCTGCCCATATCAACTTCATGAAAAAGCCTAAAGAGTCCTTCACCTACATCAGTTATGGCTATTCCACCAAGAGGGCGCCAAACAGACACCGGAGTTGTGCGCATAGCCTGAAAATGGATAACACTTGTCGTGAGAAACGTCCCCACTAAGAGTTTGTAAAAGACAAACCAAGGTTCTTGTTTGGAGATTCCACAGTAATCACATCATCTTCCTCCTCCAAACTTAGGTTTGCCTGAGTAGTTTGTGTAGTCGGATCCATAAACAAAAACAAAAAACGTGTCAAAATACAGAGAAACGTGCTATATGAGTAGAAGAAAACATGTCAAATGACAGAGAATTTCGATTTTATATTCAAAGAACGTAGACTTTTTTCTGATAAACATGTGAAAAAATCAGTAACGAGATCATATCTACATTCCTATTTTGGTCAAAGATTGTCCAAAATGAATAATTTTAAAAACAATTTCTTAAATTAATTATTTTTTAATGAAAATAAATCCTTAAATGTATAAAATAAATAGTATTATATAAAGTGTTTATTAATTGAAGTATTTGATACTATTACAAGAAAGTGTGTAGGGAGTTAAATATTTATTTTAAAAAGTAAATGAAATAATATATAAATCAAATAATGACGTTTTCAATAGTTTTATATAAAAGATATTTTTATAAAAATAAACTAAAACTATTATTTTTCCAAATTTTATTTAAAAAAAAAATGTAAGACGTACCCTTACAAGGTGGGCGTTAGGAAGACAAAGTGTGATGATTGTGTTCAAACCCCGTGTGCTGAAAAATGCAATGTGAAGCCCATTCACCCGCTAACGGCTAATATTGGATGAGCTTTTACAGACATTACTGTGTCGGAATTGGAGTATTCCCCTCAGAGTTTGTTCTTCTTGTTACTTCCCTCCCTATTTTTAGCATTCACAATAAGACAAATTAAAATAATTTAGCTTTTTATTTAATTCATAGTAGTTACTACTAGTATTTTTTAGGCTCGTAATAATAATAATATAGTAATATTTTTATAATATTTAAATTAATTAATTAATTATTAGATTGAATAAAGATAAAAAATTATTATAGAAATATTTTATAAAGGATTGGAAAATAATATTTATTATTTTATAGGTTCCATTAAATATTAATTTATGTAAGATTTTACATTCTAATCTTAGGATGAAATAAACAACAATAATTGAATTTCTTTTTGCGCATAATACTCTTTTAACTTGATCGAGCTTACTTCTAATTATTTTATTCCAAAAATAAAAACAAAAATTCTTGAAATTGAAACATCTTTGCTCTCAAAAGGAACTTACGCTTTCAACATTTATCGAAGTGTGGAAAATCCCAAGGCAATATTTACAAATGTGAATTAGGGTTCCCCCTATTCTACATTGTGTTCTTCCCTAGACTTATGGTGCAAAGGAGAATTCGATCCGTTTTCAGTATTTTGTTTTGGGGCATCGTCCGAGTGAACTGAAGACATACTCGATGATTTGTTCCGATGGATACGTTCGTGGCGGGTTCTGTGGTTTCTTTGACGATGATGTCCATTCTCTTTCTTTAACTCGGCTTTAGGTTCACGTTCCTTGGTGTCCTTGTCCTCCTTTGGTGGCAAACCACTTTGGGTTGGAACCGTGTAAACAAAGGTAGCAACCGAGGTGTCCTCATAGTCCAGAAGTGGCTCCAAAATCTTAACCACTTCGCTCATTTTGGGTCTTTGTTTAGGCCGGTGGCTAAGGCTTTGGTAAGCCAATGCAGCCGCCTTTCGAGCACCGGTTTCCGAGTATCGCCCTTCGAGCTTAGGGTCCATTATCCGACTGAGCCTCCTAGGTTCATTTAACATCGGCCGAGCCCACTCTGCTAAGTTATGTTCTCTCGGAGACCGACTCTTGTCTAAAGATCGCCTCCCTGTTAGCAGCTCCAAAAGTACAACTCCGAAGCTATAAACATCACTCATTGCTGTCAAGTGACCTAAACAACAACAGGTAACAATCAGTTTTCCGACAATCTAAACATCAAAAACAGAATCAAAACATGAATACCAATAGAAATTTTCGAACCTGTCATGATATATTCAGGAGCAGCATAACCTTGAGTCCCCATTACCCTGGTTGAGACATGGGATTTATCCTCTTCGGGGCCATCTTTTGCTAAGCCGAAATCCGAAAGTTTAGCAGAGTAATCCTGAAAAAAAAACATGTTAGTAAATGAGGAAAGTGAAAGTCCGATTTTTCGGTTCTGAAACGAGACAAGAACTCACTGAGTCCAACAAGATGTTTGAAGCTTTGAAATCTCTGTATATGACTTGTTTTTCAGATTCATGGAGATATGCAAGTCCCTTTGCAGCTCCAAGAGCTATTTTCATCCTTGTCGACCATGGAAGAGGCACTGAATACTCTGCAACACAGTTTGGGAATTAATTTAATAAACAAAAAACAAAATAAAATAAAAAGAAAGTAAATTTAGAGACAGAACATACTTCTAAAGAGTTGGTTTTCAAGGCTTCCCCTTGGCATATATTCATAGACAAGGAGCCTATGTTCTTCTTCACAACAATATCCAATCAGTTTCACCAGATGTGGATGGCTCAATTGTGCAAGAAACACCACTTCGGTCTGACAATTAATCAAACAAATTCTCAATCCTTCAACCGTTGAAAAACAAAAAACAAACAAATGGGAAATTCATTAAAACACGAACACACAAATTTACTAACCAGCCACTCTCTGTGTCCTTGACAGCCTTCTAAATCCAGGAGTTTAACAGCAACAGGCTGAGCTTCTAAACCAGGCCTAAGCTTATCATCAATGAACCCTTTATGAACAGGACCGAACCCACCTTCGCCGAGAAAATTAGCCGATGAAAAGCACTGTGTTATCACCTTTAGCTCCTCGAGCGTAAAGACATTGAGATTGGAGCCGACTAGCGACATGGAAAGATCCTCGGATAGAATCGAGCCTGGATAGCTTAGATCTAACATTGCAAGCCTGCCGAAAGAACCGTGCTTTGAATCTTCTTTCTTTGGCTTGGGTTCTTCTGGTTTCTCATTCTCAATACCCTTTGAACATCTTGGGATAATGGATCTCCAGCTAAGCTTCATCACTGTCATTTTTTTGATTTCTTTTTTGGTCTGAATTATAAGAATATTGTTATACGATAATTGGGTTTCGCTTATAATGAGGTTTTGATAGACCAAATTACCAACAAACGAAAACTGGTCTGAAAACTCAACAAACAAGACACGCTTTGATTGTTTCAGATCATTCTGATAAACATTTGGAATTCTTCCAAGTTCCACACGTGTTTATAAGTTGCATTAGTATATATTAATTATATAGATAGAGAGAGAGAGAGGGTTAAAGAGATTATTATATTGGGGAATTGAGTCCATAAGTCCACAAAGGGTGGTGCTAGTGCATCACAAAAACGACGAGGCTGCCAACATACACAGTAGAGATTTCTGATTATAATAATTTTTGGTGCAATTTGATAATATTAATGTTTTTAAATTTAAATTAAGATTATTTTTATAATAAATAAAATTTATTCGATTCGATTTAAGTATTAAAATAATAGTTTTTAGATGAAATTTGAAACGTGGGTTAGTTGGGACTTTGTAATAGAAGGTATGGGTGTAGGTATATTATAGTCATGCATCTTCTAGAATAGTATTGAAATTATATTTTGTTTGGAAATGGCCAACAGTGATTTTGTAATGCATCATCACACAACCGCGTGAACTGTGTGGACTTTTCCTTTGAAGTCGACCTTTCCGCACATACCATACAAAATAGTGGCCGCAATGCTGGTGGGGGAGATGTGATCTTTTTATATAAGTTTAGATGAGATCAAGTAATCTTTTTCGACTTAAATTTTGAATATTTCTTTGTTCAAAACGATAATGATATTTTTCAATTATTTTGAGACTATATATTTCTATTTAATTATTTTTAAATATCAGTTAAAATTTTGATTTAAAAGGATAAATTTGTTGAAAAACAGAAGTAGAATTATTATTATTTATAATATATATCTCCATCCTTATTCTAAATCCATCACTAATTATATTCGAAAAGGTTTGGTGGAATCTTGACCAAGTTGAAATTCAAAACATACTATCGCAAAAACTATGCATGGTGATTAGATGAGAGGGACTATGCTTAATTAAGACGGGGGTGGGTCTTATTTTCTTTATCAAAAGCATGAAAATGATGCAAAAATGTCGATGGGGGGAGTAGGTGAGTGGTTTGAGCCCATTATTCGTCATGTCGTCACCTCAGCTTACCAAAGTCAATGGTCAATAATGTAATTTTCATAATAAATTCCATGATTCATATATGATTTTATATTCGATACATTACATTATATGCTTAATTGATTGATGCTATGGAATCAAAATCATCCAAAACTCAGCGTGTGAAAACTATGAAAACCCAACAGAATCAAAGTCAAATCCTTTTAATGGCGCTGCTGTTTCCCGACTGATTACCAGTGAGAGCTTTGGATTCAATGTAGAGGAAATTGAAACCCTCCAGGCTGGAGAGTTTTGTCTCTTGAACGCGTACGTCCTGTCCGTTTGCCGAAACAAAAAGCACCCATCTTGTTTTCCATACATTTGACGACCTTCTGGATTAGGAAGACCCAATCCCATCACGTTGGACAAAATAAAATTATTTTTAAGATAAATAATGTTTTTTACAACGCAATGATTCCTTTTATTATCATTACTGTCTATCTTGTAGTGGATTTATTTTTCTAGGACCAAGGAATCTAAAAATGTGGATTAGTGTCCACTCTTTAATGTTGACAGTCTCGTGACCAAGGCTCTGTGCCCTGCGTGTATATTTCCCAGTCCCAGTCCCAGTCCCAGTCCTATCTTTTATTTCATTAAAGCAATCAAATATGTCCAGTTGTTTGAGTTTTCTTTTGTCTTTGCTTAATAGATATTTTGTATATCAAATAAAATATGATGTTATCTACTATGACTAGGACCATTCATGAATAGAGGGGAGTTGAGGGATAATTGCATTCTTTCAAATATTTAATTTTTTATATTTTATTAATAATTTGATGAATGATTGGATCATAACCCCATCATGTACAGCTATTATCCAAATCATCACGTGCTTTGTAAAAAAAGAAACCACAATGGTCTTACTCTTTCACGTGGACGGTGTGGTATAATATTTTACTAGTGTTTATTTTAAAATATAAAGTTAAGATTCTTTTTATTTTTTTATTTAAAATAAATAAATAATGTTTTTTTCACACTGAGGTATGGGTGAAATGGAACACTTTATATAATCATAAGTATGTTATAAATATTGATTGGGATATTTATCTCTGATTAGGGAAGATGAAGCTAACAATGTCGACAAAGCAACCAAAAGAAACCAACTTCTCATACACTGATTTAGCAGAAAGCATATCACCAACTTTTCCAAACCAATCAATAAACATTAAAACTTACGACACTAGGCACGTACACGAACACAAAATTTTATGTTAGAAAAAAGACATTTTTAGAATTTTAAGAATAGACGAACTTATAAAATTTTAAATTTTTAATTGAAAACAAATAGATAAAAATCTAAAATATATAATAATTTCAAATTTTCATAGTAAAAATTATTCCACCCTCCCGCCTCAGTCCATCCCTGACTGGACACACTTCCAGAATTTGTCATCTGAACGAAATCAGTAGATGCCCCCTCCACCTTGCAATAACTATAAATAATCGATGTATAAGTTATATCATTTATGTATCAAAACATTGATATTTTACTCATTTTTTAATTGTGTTCCTATGAAATTTATTTAAAATTGATAAAAAAAAATCATATAAAAGTACGAGTGGTTGACATTCTAAAGCTTAGATCTCATCTGAAGGTCATCCAATAAGATTATTTTCGAAGCATATTGAATGTTTTCTCAAAAGAAGGCTTCTTATCATTCAAAAATTTGTAAAAATACACTAAAAGATCTCAAATTCTCAAATCAAATTATTAGATGCATTTTTCTATTAAGGGTGTAAATGAACCAAGTTTGAATGAATAAAGTTGTGTTCGTGTTTGTTTACTTATTTTTAAAGGTGTTCGTGTTCGGTTCGTTTAAAATTCCAGTATTGTGTTTGTGTTCGTGAACATATCCGTTTAATGTTCAACAACTAACATTATCTTTTTATCCTTTTATTTGTAACCCAAAGAAAAATGGTGAAATTAAGACGCTAGTCTTTAAGTTCCTAAGACTCCACAGTTTAAAACTCTAAAATACACCTGATGTTTAATTTAATCTCTACTGTTATCAATATTTAAAATGTAAAAAACAAAACTTAAGTAAATGAGTCAATAAACAAGTTTGTTCATGAACATAAACAAACCGAACAAATCTCTTAGTTTATTAAATGAACATAAAAAAGTTGTACATACTCGTTTATTTAACTTAATAAATGAACATAAACGAACATAATACGACCGATTCACAAATAATTCATTGAACGCTCTATTAATTTATACCCTTATTTTTTTATTGATTTTGATTGGATTTCATAGAAAATCAATATGAGGAAAAGAGAGAAATTAAATATGAACGTTTTAGTATTGATCTTATCATGAATGAAGATCGAAGATTAATTGACAACAACAACGATTATCCAAAAACAACTAAATTAATACATAAATTAAAATATAGTTTCTAAAATTAAATTATCTTAAAATCTAATAAGATTATATATACATAAACTAAAGTTTCAAATCAACATCAAACTATTAAATAATTCAAATATTAATAATTTAAAGATTCACAATTTACATTAAACTAAAAATTAAATTTTAGTATTAAAATTAAAGCAATATCAAATTTAATACCAAAAGTGGAATGTAGTTTACCCTTCTAAATACAGACCCATTGAGGCTATTTGGTCCATGCTTAACCAGCAATATAAAACTATTGCTATTGGGCCTGTAGGCTGCCATTTCCATTTGACATTTTCATCGGAAAAAACAAAAAAAAAACACCACCACCACCTACAATAAGCGAAGAACTTTTGTTGAAGCACTGAGCCTTGACCCCATCCCAAAGAAAAGAACAGAACCAAGAAAATCACTGCTTATACTATATGAAATCTGTATCAATCCAGATTTCTTTCACTGAGAACTGGGTAATTTGAATAAAGTTGAAACCTTTTTTCAGACAAGTGGTGGAAGATGTCTAATGAGAGGAACGCTGCTTCCAATCCTGCATCTCCCCAAGAAGATGCTATGTAAGCTTTCAATCCTTCACTTTCATTTTTCCAATTTCATTTTTCATCGTTTTCCCCGTCATCAGCTACCTCCATTTTCTCGGACAATTCTGCTACCTGAAGAATTTTAAGTTTTGTTCCTTCAATCAGTATAAAAGTATTCGATAATTACGCATGTTTAATGTAAATTTTGGGATAGAATTTCGCACTTCTTCACTGTACGAATCAAAATTTGATAATCCAATTTGATCTTAGCAAATTTTTTACTCAAATGAGTGATGGCTAAATTTCAAATTTTAAGTCATTTGTAGGTTCCTTGATATACTTCACGAAGCTCCATTATTTGGTCACCGGAAACCAAGGAGTATCGTTGGGGGTGTTTTTTACTGTTTCATACTGGCAAGTTGAAAGTTCATTATTATTTTCTATCAAATAATGAAAGTCTCAATCTGTGATTAGGCAAACTCTGATTGTTTTTCATATTTTTAGGCAGGTTATGCAATATTGGCTGCAGCAGCTCCTTGGATATTTCGGCCTATTGGGAATTTGATGTTACCGCTGCTTTGTAGTTGCGATGTTGTTCTTTTAGTAGTCACAGGTATCTTTGCCAGGTCTTATCTTGTATTTATTGAATGAAAAGATGTTGTTCTAGATCTCTAACATCCATGGGTGCTTTAAGTTATAGATTTGAATACGATATTTCTTTATATCTTAGTTTGATATAGAAGGAATGTGGTTCTATAACTAGGATTTTTTATAGATTTTAGCGCACCGCTAAGTTTTAAGTTCTTGTTCGACTTTTACAGGCATTTTTAAGCAATACCATGTTTATCAAGTCCAGAAGATACGTTTACAAGTAACTTTACTGATTACTCCTACCTGGTGGTTTCCTAAGTGATATTTAAATCCTGATTGAAGACATTAAATGTTTTTGTGTTCCCTAGGGTTATTATAGTTTCAGTCAGAAGTTGAAGCATATTGTTCGTCTACCATTTGCCATCACCGCTTATGGTGAGTATTTTTTCCTTTGTCCACATGAACGACAGTGGCTTATCTCTATGGAACCTTTTCGGTTGGGAATTATGTTGTAATTTTATAATAAAAGTGGTGTTTTTTGTTGTCACATCTTCATTATTGTTGTTTTAGGAACTGCTGCAATGATGCTTGTCATGGTCTGGCAACCCTACATTAGTGTTCTTTCCACCTCAGCTATACTCAGGTATTCAACGGCTCAGCGATAATTCCATTTCTTTTAAGCCTGTGATATATTTCTTATGCTTGTTTAAGGATTTTTTCCAAGTAGTTTTTTGATTTTTTAGCCTTTATCGAGGATTGAGAAAGTAGTATTGATTTTGTATCCTAACATGTTGATTGAAATGTTTGCCACTTGAAACGTATGTGATTTACGAGTTCTGGATGCTCATTCTAATTTGTTTTATGTTAGAATTTGTCATCGAGGCCGTATGATGTTATTGATTGCTGGGATTGTTGGGCTAATTCAAAAGTTTCAATTGAAATATATCTTATAATAACATTCCAAGTTCTCCCTTTCATTCAAAACTACATATCGTTGACAGTTTCCTACTTGATTGCAGGATTATTATGCTGGTTGAAGCAGTATGTTCTTCTTTTGTTATTTGTGTGTATATCGGTAAGCTCACATACATTTGTAGGACCACGTGAGGAGTTTAATTATTCAGTTAGACTCCAATGTATTTCTGCACTTTTGTGGTTATTGTAGGTTATGTACACCAGTACAATTCATTGGATTCTCAGCCTGATGTTTTGAAGTCATTATATTCTCCCCTTCAACCACAAAGTCCTTTGGAAGATTTGAGGTAATGGAAAAATTTTTATCGATCCAATCTGAGCTATATTTTCAAGATTCACCGTGAAAGAAATTCTGTCTATCGATCTTTAATTAGGTAGATAGTATAATATTGCCATCACTGGAGCTTTGCTGGTTTCTATATATCCTGATGATGGTTGCTGCAGATTCAGTTGTCATGAAACCAAGGCAGAGATTAATATGAAATTGTGCATCATTACTGTTTATGGGCCATGTTTGTTTCTGATTTGTGTGCCAGGTATCATGATGGTGGTCGACTCTCTGACCAGCAAATGGCTTTACTGCAGTATCAGCGTGAAAACCTTCATTTTCTGAGTGAGGAGGTATTTTGGATCATTTTATACCTATCATTCATGATCGTTGTTTTCCTCGTTCATTTTGAGTAACGTAGCAGAATACTGTAATATAAGTAACTTGTTTCTATCTGCAGGTTCTCCGATTGCAAGAGTGCTTAAGCAAATACGAAGGATCTAATGATGGAAGCACACCTCAGGTGATTATCTCTTTTTACAGCTGAATTTTGGGATAACTGTCCAAAAAATGGTCAAAATAATGGTTACTCTCGACTTCTTTTTCAGGTCGATCTTGCCCATCTATTAGCAGCTCGTGATCAAGAATTGCGAACAGTTTCAGCTGAGGTACACTAGTTAATATTGGAGACACAGAAATTTACAGATCTGCCTTTTCAATGGTGGATATATTCTTTTGAACAATTAAACTTATTGTTGCATATCATCTGTTGTTCTCTTATGCACCTTTTCCCCTTTTCCATGCTGTTCTATCTGGTTTGAACTTATGTTCATGCAAACCTTACAATCTTATGGTGCTAAGTAGATGTTCCTCATACCCGTGTCCGAGACATTTTCAGACATGGGTATGGGCTTTGACACTCTGAATACATGAACGCTTAGACAACTGGTTCAGACGGATCGTAGGACCGAGTCCAACGCTTATGCTTGAGTCTAAGTAACATATCGGTAATATATGAATTTGGTTTACATCTTTGGATATGCACTTTGGGACAGTGAGTTTTTGTATTTAAACTCCATTTTCTTTATTCTGTTCCATGTAAAGTTGTTCCTCTTCGAGCATTGATAGTGAGCGTTTGACTTTACTTTCTGGCATTTTCTCGGAGAAGTGTGATAATCTTAGCTTTCAGAAACTGAGATATTAAACTATTTGAATTGTAGATGAATCAACTACAGTCCGAGCTAAGACTTGCTCGCTCTTTAATGGCAGAGACGGAAGCAGAGGTTCAGCGTGTTCGAACAACCAACAATCAGGTAAGCTGCAAGTACCGAGTGGCAAATCTTGAGTTGAAAGGAATTTGACTAACTATTCCCAACAACTACATGCTTTAAGCTAGACCGGTGAAAATGTATCGTAATCTCTCACTGCTACATTGACGTTGTTATTCATTTTGTTTTTCCGGAAACCTGAAACAGTATGTCGAAGAGAACGAAAGGCTGAGAGCTATTCTAGGAGAATGGAGCACCCGAGCAGCAAAGGTAACTTCTCCACTATCCTTCTTGCATTTGTGTATGTTACTTTTTCTCGGTCGTGAGTGTCGGATATAGACACGTGCATCAAATACGGGCATTGGATATGATGTATCATTATATTTGACGATATTAATGTTATGAAAAATCTATGGTTGAAGCTTGAACGAGCCTTGGAGATTGAGAGGATGTCGAACCTTGAACTGCAAAAGAAGATTTCGACACTTAGAAATCCACCATCTCATACATCAGGTGAATCAAGTGAGCAGCGTGGATCCTAAACTACTCATTCCACGCCACTATGTATAGGCTGATTGATTCTGACTGGAATCACTTTGGAGTGGAATTAGTGCCTTTTTATTCTCTCTCCCCTATGCTGAAATACTTGAGAGATTTTTGGATAAAATTATTGTATTTGGACAAATGGATTGAGATTAAAAAAAATTGGGTTTTGGATATAACATTATATTACTCAAGTTTTATTTACGTATTTTATCACATTTTTTATAATCATCTAATTACAAATAAAGAGAGATGAGCATTATTATAATTATTTTTAAATATATATGAAATAATTATCATATTATCTTGAATTAAACTGAATCGAATCAAATGTTTTTATCTTAAATTTAAATCCATCAAACTTAAGTTTATCCTTCTAAAAATTAAATTTATTTGGTTAGTACAAGTGGCAGGTAGTCTTTTAAGTGTTTATATTAGACTGGCGTTTTGTATGATTGGGTACCGCTAGTGATACCAAAAATCAATACCTTTTACAGTTTGTATTCTCTAATATTCGGGGAAACTTGCTAATGGCTGCAGCCATGTCAGATAGGATTCCAAGTCCAAGACCCAATTTCTTCAATATGGCAACCATTGGCATGAAAAGACCTATAGTCTTCAACTTCTCCATTAGGAAAAATAAACCATTAGAAAGTTTGTGGAATCCTCTGGAATATTCTGGAGATGTGTGGAACCTTATGGAAAAATATGAAAGAATATGGAAGGGAGTGGAAGAGCGTAGAGCTTCTTAGAGTGTGTGGAGCATTCTAGATAATTAATCTCCACCATTGGATATAAGTAATCTCCACCATTCATTGTGGAGGTGAAGTAGTATAAATAGGGGTGAGAGACTTCATTCCTAATCATCCATGAAATCCAAAAATTCAAGAACACTAAGAGAGTCCACTTCTTAGACTAAGGGACTAGAGAGTTAGAGAGCCTCTTTGAGAGAGAAGAGAAATAGCTTGGGAAGTCTTTATCCTCAAGCTTGAGTGAGTCACCAAGTGTAATCAAATTTTGTGAACACATCATTGTAATCCTACTATTCTTTTGTATAGTGGAAGAATCTCCAAATTGGAGAATTATACTCTTGTACTCTCTTTACTATCCTTAATCTCTAAGTGTTTATCTTAACTTCACGAAGCGGGAAAGACCGTGATTCCCAACATGGTTGCAGTGCATATTTGGTAAAAGAGGCCATATCTGACAATGAACTGTGGGTACGTTCCTTATGCTTTTCTGTCTTTCTATATTTTTGGTATAATGGTTCTAATTGTTTCGTAACATAATGCTGCGATTATAACAACCCATTGTATATTGGAGGATGTGCAAACCCATAGGTAGAGAGATCAAATATCGATATTTGTTTGTTCAATATTAAATGCATAATATTCTTTAACAATATATATTATATGCAGATACATTAATGACAAGATGAACCAGAAATTGGCTAACGAGGTTAGACTATTGGCAGCTTTTAATTGCTACAAACTGAACCAAATACATTAATAACATTCTTTTCAGGAGTTCATCTCCTTGAAAAAAAGATGCAGGGGAACCTTGATCTTGCTGATACAGACAAGTGTTTCGTAGGGGTATGGTGTTCCAATTATTATTTTTTGAATGGACCAGACCTTCTTCGGAGTCATGTTTTTTTTATCAATTATAGATTATGAAGGATGAACCCAAAAAAGTAGTTGGAACAGTAGAGTACAACATAAGTAATTTTTGCAATAAGAGGCAACCTTCCATAATCGTGCTCTTTTAGTCTACTCAAAAAAAAGTAGACTTATTTGTTTTGCATTGGAAACTAGTTGCTGAAATCTCAAGAGTGCTTTCCCACAATGACGAAATCACGTCTTGAGACGTCTGTTATGTTAACTTGTGTGTGCGCAAATTATCCCGTCAACAGGGCGTTGCGACTAATTTGCTCTGTTTCGCTACTGATGAAGCCTTGTATCAAACATTTGTATTTCCAGGCCTCAAGTTTGTATTTGTACATCTGCCTCTGCTCTTCAACTTTATCATAAGTTGGGTTTTAAGGTGGAAGAGGCTAATTTTCAATTGGAAGAAGATGATGTATATTTGTTGTCTTACCCTCTTTTCGGGTAGTCTTCTGTCCAATTAACATCTCATTTTGGTTGTGCAATGAACCGCCTTCAAATAATAGCAATGTAAAGGATTTGATTTCAACTTTCGTCTCAATGTTTTTTTAAAAACTGTCTTTCTTTACCTGTGTGCTCACGCTAGTGTGAGACTGAAGCTTCACTTAAACTCTCGTTTCCTTCTTAAAGGGTAAATTATAAATTTCACCCCTCAACTTTAGTCGCATTCCTATTAAACATTAAAATATTTTAATTTAATTAATATATTTTTAAATTATTTTTATTTTAATTATTCTCATGTTATATATTTTAATAGAGTTGTGGTTGAAATTATATCTTTTTAAAAATATAAAAATATCTTTAAAATATTTTTTATTTTTTCATAAACTCTAATTTCAAATTCTCCTTAATTTTTCGATGTTAATATATCTTTTTACAGATCTCAATGGTAAAAAGATGAAGAAAAAAGAAGCAAAAACGTAGCTTCCACAATTTTGTTTTAAATGTTACAAAGTAAAAAGGTCAACCGAAAAAGGTGTGCACTAAGCCAGCAATGTTTCAGACATGCCGTTCCGTAAGGATAAAAACCATTTAGAACCACCACACAATTCAATGGTAGGAAAAAGCCTTCTCGCAGCCTTTGAACTAACACATTAAATTTTCACCAATGGAGATTAAATAGGGTCATGCATATACTTTTCTCAAGAGATACAGGTGATGGATAAACATTCATTTGATGCAAGAGGTATTTCATATTCCCAAGTGTCCTTCATAAGAAAATGTTTTCCCCCCTCTAATTTCCTTATTGTTTTGATTAAATAGATTTGGTTTAGGTTGGTCCATTCAAAATGTTCTGAATAAACGATGGAAATATGATAAACAGGATGATACTCATTGAATTGTATAACATCTAAATATTAATAATTTAAAGATATGATTTTAATGATTGGTGGATTTGCAGAATGCAAATGTGTATATAGTGCCGATTGTATCAAGATGATCTATTGCCGGCGAAACTCTGACTGCAACAATGGGTGCAGATACAGCTTCACAACTTGCATTATGTAATTGCAACGGTTTCCACCTACTGATCTATGCCATCTTTAAGATTGGTACATTGTTTCATTCATCAAACTACCAATAAAACTTGGGAATAAATGCTCAACACCCAAAGATATATGAATGAATGACATTGAGTATTATACTGATTGAACCGAGGAAGGGTACACCAACGAAAAAAATGAAGAATTTGAACAATTGACTGAACTCGATGCTTCCTATTGGCATGGGAAGCATCCGTGCAGAGTCTTCTTGCATTTATGAGATATACAAATATAAAACTTGAATACAAATATACAAATATACAAATATACAAATAACTAACATCTTAAATATGAAATGAATTGGACAGATTATCATATTTACCTATTGTAGTAGGCCATGATTTCAACTGTCAGTGAAGAAAAAAAGAGAGAGAAAGAGAAACTATCATGGCATGATAGCATCATAATCAGAACCACATTAGTTTTCATCCATGTTACAAGGATTTTTCTGCAGTGAAAATGGTCCCTCAATATAAATATACCTATTCTACTCACTCTACTACAACTGCAGGCCTCTCAAGTCATTTATGATAAAGTACTGACCTGTACTGATCACTCTTCTTCTTCTTTTGAGGTTTCTTATTAGCTTGCTTGAATGATGATGAGTGGAAGACACATGTACCCTTTTACTACAACTCAATGGGAAGAGCTTGAAATTCAAGCTTTAATCTTCAAGTATATGGTCTTAGGGATCCCTATACCACCTGATCTTATCTTCACCATCAAAAGAAGCTTCCTGGAGGAGTGCTCTTCATTTTCCTCCAGGCTTTTCTCTTACCAGTCTCAACATGGTAAAAGCCCCTTTTTTGACCTTTTTTTTTTGTAATGAATTGTTGTTGTTTCGTTCTGGTTTTAACAATGGCGTTTCATTGTTGTATTTCGTAGTTGGGTGAAATAGTTTTAAGGAGAAAAAACTAGACCCAGAGCCTGGGAGGTGCCGAATAACTGACGGGAAAAAATGGAGATGCTCGAAACAAGCTTACACTGATTCAACATTCTGTGAAAAGCACATTCATAGAGGCAAAAACCGTTCAAGAAAGCCTGTGGAACATAGCGATACAACAACGGCGAACACTTCAACAACAGCAACCCAAAGCTTGTCCTTAAGCCTGTCTTCCCCCTACACCCTGAAGGATCGCCATGAACTTGGTTACCCTCGTAATCAGTGTCAGCTCAATGGTTCCTTTATGTATCCCCATGCACCAGGAGCTCTTGGCATTGGTCTATTACTTGAAGCACACTTTTCGGAGCCTTGTAGGAGTTTCTCAGGTTTACCAATGGAGGATTCGTGGAAATTTACGCCACTAAAAATGAACTCATCTTCTTCAAACCATAGGACAATCCATCATTTCTTTGATGAATGACCACAAAAACATGGAGACTCATCATCAGCTTCAACAACCAGGTCTCAATATCCATTTCCTCAAACATTACATGATTTTCCCATTTTCAATTCAGGATCAGATAATGGTATTTAGCCAGTTTCTGAGGATTAACATGAATTTTTGTTTCTGCAGGTAGTTGAATATCCCAGTTATGGCCTCTGTGCAAAAAGAGGCCAAGATATTACTCAGTGGGGATCACCTCTTTCACTGGATTCTTACTGTTTACACCTTTTATTCATTGGTTTTTCTTTTGGCTTTTGTTGGTGTGTTTTTAATGAAACAATGACATCTATATTTCTGGGTTTACTGCAATAAATTTAGGATTCATAATACAAGATTGAATGGCTCCTCCTAATGTGTTGATATGTTGTTCTGGGTTTTAATTTCAAGCACCTACTCAGCCTGTAGCCTGCTGCTTATTGAAATAATAGTCCCTGTTATTTAATGACTTTTTTTTAATTTTATTTAATTTAGATCATGGTAACAAAATTTGAACCTTCTAATGATAAATAAATTAAAATTTATTATTAATTAAATAAAATATTTTTTAATTGTTCATTTTCTAATATTTTAATAGTAAAATTGACAAAAAAATAATGAAGATTTAAATAATATTATTTTTAGAATCAATAAATCAACAGTTAATTGTAATATTATTCACATTACTTTTGATAATATTTTTAAATGAATATTTTAATTATTGATTTTTTAAAAATTATAAAATAATTATAAAATTTATTAAATTATTATGAAATGGAAATTATAAAGTTTTACAAATCCTAAAATTCTATAAATTTATTGATTTTTTTAAGATAAAATTTAATGAAAATGTTATAACATTTTGATAAAATGTGATGATTATTTTATAACTTTGAAGAGTTTATTGACTAAAACAATCATTTGACGATATCTAATGATCAAAATTATCATCGAAACATAATTTTTCGGTGACCTGTAATATACTTTTATCTTATATTTGTTTGTTTATTTACGACAACGTTTTAATCTATTAGCAGATATAAAGTCTCTAGAGCCTCCTAGTGTGCGCCGCTAATTGTCACATTTTCCGGCGACTAGTCGGCGTTACAATCGCAACCCCAAGAAGTTAAAGAATATGCCTATTAAATGGTAAATAAACCGACAATTATTTGCCCAAGCTTGAATCTCTCACCAATGATTTCCATAGTTTTTAGTTTTCAATTCATTTTTCGCTTTCCCTTTTTTTGCCCCTAGGGTTTTCAATTGGCAGCCCAATGCAGGATCAACCGTGAACAGCCAAATTCTAAACGAAGTTTCACAATGCGTCGAGAGCATGAGTGGCGTCAAAGAAGGTCGTTGGAAAGCTACTCTCACTTTTTATAAACCAATGTTACGAGGTTAGCTAATTCTCTCTTTCCTTTCATTTTCCCCTCCTTTTCACTAATTCGATCCATTGATTTTTGAGCTACATTCTTCTTCAGATCAATCGTTAGCTGCCGAGTTCCCGCGTGAATTCATTGGGATTTCGTTTCCAGAACAACCAAACAAGTACTATTTCATACTTCGAGCTAATAAGATCGTTCTTAAAGCGGATTCTTCAATTCAATTGATAATGGAGAAATTGCAGTCTTATAAATCCAGGGTCGCACTTAATTTCGAGGTATATGATTTTAATTGTCTTTTCGGTTCCATTCTTTTTATGGATCACTGGAGATTTGCAGCGATGGGATTGTCTTCTGATATCATTTTTTTTCTCGTAGGGGTTTCAATACCAACTAGGTGACTTTCAATTGAGAGTAGGCAAAGTTGTACCAACGCATTCTGAAAATTTGAGAGGAATAGTAATGGAGGTACATTATTATTACTTGTTTTCTACTTTAGAACATCAATGGGCATATGCTAATGTAGATTGATTTTGATGAAATGGTGGATAAAGCTGTTCTTTTTTCTCTTAGATCAATGATATAGAGGTTGGGAAACAAGCTGATGTATTGATTTCTAGCAGATAGATAGGGTTTCATTTCCAGTGGATAGATAGGGTTTCGGTATTTGTTAATCCGAGCTAGTGTGCAAGTTGTTGAATATCAAAAGTGTTTATGATTTTTCATTTCATGTCAATTTGTCACTAGAGGAATAGTAATGGAAGTAATGTGTTATTACCTGTTGCATGCTTTAAAACGCTATCGGAATGCTTTAAAACGCTATCGGAACTATGCCTTAGAGCAGTGCCACAGGGATTGGGAAACAAGCCGGTGTTGATTTTTCACTAAAATAGATCCTAATGTATAGTGGATATATATGTTATGGTATTTGTGAATCCGAACGGGCAAATCAATGCACGTTTGTGAGTTCATACTTTTCGTAATATAAAGTACTTACCAATTTGTGTTTCATAGCAATCTGTCACTGGAGGTTTTATATTTGCTTCTACATTTGATATTGGTTTTCCGGCGTTTAGTCCTTTTATTCTAAAGCAGCGGAAAACTGGGTGCCCTCTTTTCCTTCTGTCTCTAGGTTGAATCATCTGAGGTCATTCTCTGAAACTCCTGACTACTTGGTGTTTTTAAGCTGTTGTGCACGGGAACAACCATAGTTGTTAAACTTATTGTGCAACCGCAGTTTGCTCCAAATGAAGTTGTTTGTTCCTTTGCAGGTGGAGTATCTTCCTATTTCTTCGCTGGAGAAATCCAAACTAATCATGGAGGAGTTTGTTGATATTTGGCAAGATGCTGTCTCGAAGCGATCATTGCTGGGACAGTTCATGCATATAGAACCGAACTTCTCAGAGTATGGACTTGCAGACCACTATACTTCACAACACACGGCCGTCCAGTACACTCATGTTATGGGTCAACTAATCGCAACGGTGCAAGCAGTACAATCCGGAAGAAATTAGGATATTGATTGTCCGTCAAGGCCGTAGTGATGCGGAGAGAGTTTAAGATGATCAAATGTATGCATACTTGTAAGACTGTTGGCTTCAACCCGTGCTTTCTTCTGAACCTAATTAATTGCTCTTCAGTTTGTAGAAGATGTAGAAAGGAAGAAATTAAACTAAATGGAAGAAGAGAATGGCTTAGTATAACTGTATAAGCTTAGATCCAAGCGTGTAAAGTCACACTTGTTTTTAATTAATTCGATACTTGAAGCATTTGATTAACTTGAATATAAACGTAAACCGAGTAGTTTAATATTACTTTTGAAAATATGTTGAAAAATATTTTAATAATAAATGTATACTCATCAAGCGGTTAAAGGGAGTATTGTTTTTCCCTAAGGGTGCGTTTGGTTCATGGAATGTAAGATTATCAATAAGAATAAAAGATTATCAGGGAATATGATTACTGTGAATGTTGTATTTTGTGTTTGGTTGGTTTAGTAGGAACGTAAGATTAACTTGTTTGGTTAAAGGAATAAAAAATTATTTGAATGTATATTTTATCAAATTATCTTTATTATATATTTGTTTTTTAACAAGTTGAATTCTACTATAATATTACTATAATTAATTTATATATTTTCTTTAAAAATTTTAAATTCATAAAATTTATATATTTTTTTTACAAAATTAAAAAGATAAATATGTTTAATGAAAGGGTAAAATTTTATTTTAACCCTGAACTTCATATAAAATTCTCATTATAGACTTTTTGTGTGTGTAAATCTAAAATAGTTTAAGGAAAATTTGTAATTAAATCTTCGTAGAATTTTTATTATTCAACGACAGAATAATTATATATTTGAAAAAAAAATTAAGAGCATTTTAGTCCAAAACACCGGTAATCCAATAATACCTAAGGGAAGGGAGGTAATGACATTTTCGGTAATATACCCAAAAAATCCACTGTTGGTAATAAAAGATTACCGGGGGCTGGGAATGTTGGTCAACTAAACGGGGAATGAGATTTCATTTTGCCGGTAATCTCATATTCCCTAAACCAAACGCACCCTTAGAGTGCGTTTGGTTTACGGAATATAAGATTACCACTGGGAATGTAAGATTATCAGGGAATATGATTACTAAGAATGTTGTATTTTGTGTTTGGTTGATTTAGCAGGAATGTAATATTATCGTGTTTGGTTAAAGGAATAAAAGATTATTGGAATATATATTTGACCAAATTGTCCTTATTATATATTTTTTTAACAAGTTGAAAAATATTTATATATTTTCTTTAAAAAATTTAAATTCATAAAATTTATATATATATTTTTACAAAATTAAAAATATAAAATGTTTAATGAAAGGGTAAATTTTATTTTAACCTCTGAACTTCATATAAAATTTTAATTATAGACTATTTTTGTAAATCTAAAATAGTTTAAGGATAAATTTGTAATTTAACCTTCGTAGAATTTTTATTATTCAATGAAAGAAGAATGATATTTTTGAAAAAAAAATAAAAATTTAAGGACATTTTAGTCCAAAACGCCGGTAATCTAACAATACCTAAGGAAAGGGAGGTAATGACATTCCCGGTAACATACCCCAAAAAAATTTATTATTGGTAATAAAATATTACCGGGAATAAGATTCCAGGCCGACCAAACATGGGAATGTGGATTCTATTCCCATGACAATTCCACATTCCTTGATCCAAATACCCCCTAAAGGTCCTGAGTTTTAGTGGTTGCATATGTAAGATGTTTGTTTGTTGTCAATATTAAAATATTTTTTTAACAGATATTATCTTAAATATTTTTAAATGTTTACTGCTAATATTAAAATATATTTTTTGAAAATATAAATAATCATTCTAACAAAAAAAAAATGTAAGTCATAACCAATGTTTTGACCCAAAATTATTTTCAAAGGTAATGTTAAATGGACACAAATAAAATTTCATTGATCTTAATTCAATTAATTGGTTTTGATATTAAAAAAAAAATACTTTTTACAGTTTTTTGAAGTTTTTCCTTTGATTTTTTTCAATATAAAATAATATATTTCATAATGAAAATAAAAAAATATAAATTAAATAGAGATAAAATTAATTTCAGATTGTTACATACTTTTAACTTGTTAATCAAAAATAAAAAATGATTGAATTTAATAAAATGAAAAAAAAAGAATCGAATGTTAAGATTCGAATTGTTTTTCTCTTTATTTAATCCTATTTTAGTGGATCATTATCTTTTTTGTCCAAACTCAAGACTTGTGTTTAGAAAAATTTAGACAAAATATTGTTAGAACTCACAAAGTTAATTTCGGATTAAAGTTTAAAACTATATATAAATGTTATAACTCTAAGCACATTTCTTAGACTATATAAATTTTAGATTTTTGGTCATTGAATTTGGTATAAACTAAGACAATCATATGCTATTTATTCAGGTAAATTGTTGTAGAGGTAACTTTTATTTTATCTTATCTTTCCTGATTTTGGCCCCTAAACTTTTAGTTCTTGCAATTTAAATCACTTACATGATCAATTAATAACAATTTGGAGTAAATTGATAATGTATGCGATCAAATCATAATAATTAAAGTTTAGTGGTCAAAATAAAAGAAAACAAAACAAAAGGGGTCTTTCTATTTTTTAACCTTTTTATTTATTAAATATTTAAACCGTCACCTTATAGAGTTATTTGGTTCGATCTAGGTTTCAGTAACACATATAAATAGTCTACGTTGATTGACGCCTCAAAACTTAGCTATTTCGGTTCAGCCTCTATATATTTCTTCCCCACCTTCTTCACTACCGCTTTGCTCTGTTCTTCCTTGTAATAAAGCTCAACATCCCTTTCAATTCATTCACTCATTCAATTCGATCTGATCCATTCAGATCATTGTTTGAATATTCGTTGTTCATCCAATGGAACAAACAGCCGGAAAAAACAATGCCCCCAGGAAGGTCTGTTTCAATAACTTTTAACTTAATATCCATTGTTGGAACTGTTGATTATAGCTCTATTTTTTATGTTTTTTTTTCTGGGGTTTTTTTGCAGATGAGATTCGCACCCAAAGCTCCTACCCGCCGAGCACCAAAGCTCGAAGTTAAAGCGTAAATATCGTTTCTTTATTCGTTTATTGACTTTGAAAGCTGCTATTTTTTATTGTGTTGATTGTGTTGTTTCAGTGAAGTTGAAGAGGACATCGATGCTGCTCAAGCCATGGATTTGCTTCAGCGTTTCAATGTACCCTGTTTTCGCCGATTTTTCCATTGATTTTTCTTTTCATGGTTATATGACATTTATTTTTTTTCTCCTTTGATGTTTTTGTTTTCCTTCTCCGACAGCAAAGTTCTGTAAGAACAAAGCCTAAGGTTGAAAAGAAAGGTAAATTCCTGACAATGAGATGTTAACTACTGAATATCCAATCCAAAAATCCATTAGTGCAAGGATTTAATTCGGGCATGGTTGAAATCTGATGCAACCAACGCCTTTGATAACCATTAGATTAATGGTAGATCCTAATGGTACATGTGGTTGCATTACATAAATCCAAGTTCTCAGTTCACTTGTCTTGGCATGCAGTTTCGGCTTCGCAAGTCGCATTCGGTCATGGAGCAGGATCTGGTTTGTTAAGAACATTTGGTGCTTCCAAAGGAGTGAGTCGAAGTGCCGGAGAAACTTCCACTGGTATGTCATTGCGGCCTTAATATGAGATGTCTCGCTAGATATTGAGTTTCCTCTCGATCCGTTAACTGGTGTTAATGTTTCTGTAGGTGGCGTTCAAACACAAGGTTTGAGAGGGGCGAAAGAATACAAAGAACCGTGGGTATGTGAACTCTGGCTTACTCATTCAATCCAAGATGATTTGCCTTATTTCATTGTTTGAGTTCTCCCTGCAGGATTATTACAGTTATTATCCTCTAACCCTTCCTATGAGGAGACCATACTCTGGAAATCCAGGTAAAATCAGTCGCATTTTCGATATCAGACATTGCACCATAGTATACTACTGGTTCCCCATCTAATTGAATCTGCAATTTGTAGAGTTTCTCGACGAGGTGGAGTTTGTTTCGGATAATGCAATTTACAACGAAGACTTGATGGAGCCTGCAGTCGAGCTTGGTCTAATGGTTAGTATCGAAACAAGTGAATCTAATGTCGCTATGCCTAGTTTCTTGATGATGATACTGATGGTTTCGATGCAGGAAGAGAATTTGGAGCCAACCATGTTATTTCTTAAGTTACCACCAACTCTACCTACGATACAACAACCGGAAGGTGTAGCCAGGGAAGAGGCTCGTAGCAGCTCGAGGTCTTCCAGGACCGCAAAGAAGACGTCGGGGTTAGCCGAGTTACCTGCGGGTCTAATGGGGAAAATGCTAGTGTATAAAAGTGGCGCGGTCAAGTTGAAGTTAGGGGATACAATATATGATGTGAGTAAACTCAACATTGTCATGTTAAAAACCTACCTAACCATTGATGTTTTGTGTTGCGACACAACGTACATGTTCGGTTATCGGTCTGAAGTTTGTTTTTCAAATCGTTGCAGGTTAATACGGGCATGAATTGCGTGTTTGCACAGGATGTGGTAGCTGTTAATCCTGCAGAGAAGCAGTGTTGTGCGGTTGGGGAGATTGATAAGCATGCTGTTGTAACCCCTGATGTGGATTCCGTTTTGAGTAGTTTGATGTCTTATCTTTGATTGTTTTACAAATTTATGAAACAAATGTTATGCAAACAAAATTACATCTGATTTTTTCCCCAAAATTTTAAAATTTAAACTAAAGATATTAAATTGTTTGTCATTTTCCAGCTTAATTTCCATTACAAATGATGTATTGGAGGTTGGTGAGCTTCTTATAATTAATGGTAATAAATAGAATCGAAGAAAAATTAATTTAGGTGACTATGAAATTTATTTTGTTAATTTATTACCGTATATTTTATTTAATCAATAAAATCATAATTTAAATAAAAAAAGTATTTAAAAAATTACAATTTTACTTTAAAAAAATATTTGGTTAAATGTTACTCCATCCACCAAACAAAAATGAATAATTTGTTTAAGATATATTTGGGTCGTGGGGCCCTTCGTCCTAGATTCCAAACTCCCATCATTGTCCAAATGCCACGTGGTTAATAATGAAGCCGCTCGAAAATCAACTCATTTAAAGCCAACAAAATATATTACATAAATCAACAAAATAATTCATATATTCGTGTCTTATTTATGATGTTTATTTTTATTTTTTTTTAATAATAAAAGATAAACTTTAAAAAAAATTGTTGACTGTCCGAACTCAGCGACAAATCTACATATCCTCTCTCTCATAAGTTCAGGAAATTATCTTTTGTTTGGTTCTTGAGATTCGATTTAATCGGCGATCTTTTCCCTTCATTCCTCAATCTTTCCCAGAGTACAATGCTTCAGATTTTTCAGGGTAAGTACATAAATAAATGTTTTTATTAACGAGAGCAATTTCTAAGTTTAAAGTCAATATTATTAGTATATTTAAATGTAGCAATTATGATTTCCTTATCTGAAAGTAGCATGCAATACATCTCTGCATCTTGTTCTGTCTTAGCATAAACGGTGTTCCTTTTTCTGGGTTTTCAATCTGGGTAAGTTTATGAAAGTTTTTGTTCTTTCTTCTCTAGAAAGTTCTTATTGTTTTCCCAGATTTTGAAGCAATTTCTTTCTGTGCGTTAAGTTTGTTTTTTATAAATAAATTCTGTGCACATTTTTATTGTGGTGGTTTGATATTTCTAATTTTTATTTCTCTGCGTTGTTTTGTTGATTTTTAGTTTTTGGAAAGGGCGAGGTTGATAAAAGTTGTAAATGTCAAGGACTGAATTAATTGATTTGTTTAGGATTAGAGTCAATTTGATGAATGTGTATGACTGGAAGGTTTAAATTATTATTATTATCCTAATTAAAAAAACAAGTCACATTAGCTCCATTGTTAACTATTTAACAGCATCAGGTGGCTTGATTGTAACTAAAATGAAAAGCTAGTGATCTAATGGATAAAAGAATTCAGTGATCAAAATAAAATCAACCATGTACTTCGGTGACTAAATAGGTAGTTTACCCTGTTTTTAGTACATTAAAATAACTGATGCTTCTGTTCATTCATTCCTACTACGCTTATGTTCAATACTTCATACCAATGCCTCCTCTATGTTTTCTCTCTTGACTTTTGCTTTAATAACTATGTTTAATATTTCATACTGAAATGTCAACTAGTCACTTACCTGATGGTAATCGTTATTGGTCTAATTTCAAGTTTGAACTCGGACAAAATCTTTGTCGTCGTCTCGTACTATAATCATATGGTTGTTTACCGGTTTTCTTACATGTAACACATTTGTCTCACCTTTTGCTTGCCTCTTATGTTCCTTTTTTTTTTTAAATTTCTGGCTTCAGGGCTGGTTTTGAGTTAAAATGGAGGGTGACAGTGATATCTCGGGGCTAGGCAATGATGGCAGTGGTGATCAAATGGATAGCAAGGTGGTGCAGACATTTCAAAAGAGTTTTGTTCAGGTCCAGAATATATTGGACCAGAACAGGCTGCTAATCAACGAGATAAACCAGAACCATGAGTCCAAGATGCCTCACAACTTGACCAGAAATGTTGGTCTGATTAGGGAGCTCAACAACAACATAAGAAGAGTGGTCGATCTCTATGGCGATCTTTCGAGTTCATTCACCAAAACCATGGATGCCTCGTCGGAAGGCGATTCTAGTGGTGCTGTGAAATCAGATGGCAAAACTGGTCTCAAAAGAAACAGGCCTGCTTGATTTCATTCTAGAGAAAAAAAATTCACATTGTGTGGCAATGAACTTGCATAGCTTTGCTGATGATCTGATTCTGGAAAATTTTCTTCATCGCAATGTAACTCCCCTGTAGGCTTTGAATCCAATTGAGATGAATCATGCGTTGAAACTCTTTTTCAATGTTATAAATGTCGAGTTTCAGTTGCTTTATTATCTATTATTAGGTCAATTTTGTTTTAAGCCCCTTTACTGTAGATAGTTTTAGAATTTAGTCCTTATATCTTAATTTGGCTAATTTAACATTCTACTTTCGTAAGGTTATTACATAATTCAAAAGGTTCACGTTGTTAACTATTTGAGTTAAAATGTTGGTTCGAACTTTTCTTAAAACATCCTCTCAACACACACAAAAATGACAACATTATAAGGTGCAAAAAGTGCTTTTAATGAAAATTCATGTTAAAAGTATAATTAAAACAATGACAAATATTAACGATTGAGTGTAATTAATGATATCATAGAAGTAAAGGATCAAATTTTGTTAAATTAAAGTATTATGCCTAAATCCTACATTTGAGCATAGTGTAAGGATTTAACTCATCATTTCACCATTATGTTTTAAAATGTTCGGTTCTATAAGAGGAAAAAGCCCACAACGCTGCGTTTAGAGTGAAAACCATAAGTAGGGCTGTTCATTCGGTGGCCAAACCGATCGAACTACTATTAATCGAACTTTTTTTTTCTTTAACCGTTAACTGAACAGAATTTTTTTTCGAAAATATTAATCGAACCGAATAAATTTCGGTTAATTCGGTTAATTTTTTAATTAGCCGAATTTTTTTTAACTTTTCTAATTTATATAAAAATTAAATATTTTATAATTAAAAAAACAGTTTATAATTAATTTAAATAATATATAATTATAAAATAAAAATTTTATATAAAATTTTTAATTAATTAATATTGATTTAGGTTTAAAAGTTATTAGATCTTAAATTATTAATTGGGGTTTAAATAGTTTGGATTAAGCTCATATGTTATATATAATATATTTAATATTTTTTAATTCAGAAAAAACAATTTACAATTAATTTAAATAATATATAATTATAAAATAAAAATTTTATATAAATTTTTTAATTAATTAATATTGATTTAGATTTAAAAGTTATTGAATCTTAAATTATTAATTGTGTTTTAAATGGTTTGGGTTAAGCTCATATGTTATATAAAATATATTTAATATTTAAAATTTTATTTCGATTAATTAACCGATTTCGAATCGAATTAACCGTTAACAGAATATCTAATTTTTTTTTAATAATTCTCTAATCGAACTAATTCGATGATCGACCGAATTAATCAAATTAATTCGATTTAATCGATTAATCCAATTAAAAACGAATTTTCAACACCTAATCATAATCATAAGGCTTAAAGCTTTAGACAATCGAGTCCGAATAAAGAAAAAATCGTCCGGAAGGCGCCAGCAATTAGGGGGTTATGACTGTAAATTTGTCCCAAACAGAAATTTTGGTGCCATTCCCCGTTTCTAAAATCAAATCCAAATTCTGTCTATCGCATAGAAGAGAAAATAAGCGAAAGAGAAATTCCTCTTTATCATTTCGAAACCTCACTCTCCATTAAAACATTCGAAACTCCTCGATATTTTATAGTAATTTTGTTGCTTCGTTTCTGTGTGGTTAGGGTTCTTTTTGTTCAAACCTGCGGAGATCTAGCTTTTTAGTGACAAAAATGCCTGTCAATCTCACGCGCAACGCTATTTCCATGATCAACAGTGGCGATGTTAACTCCAGGCCGTTGGTTCAGGTGATGGACATTAAGCTGATTGGCAGCTCTCAGGAGAGGTACCGGTTTCTGTTATCCGATTCCGAGTCCACTCAGCATGCAATGCTCGCCACTCAGCTCAATGAACAAGTCAGGAGCGGACGAGTCAAGAAAGGATCTATAATTCAGTTGATAGATTACATTTGCAGCACCGTTCAAAATCGCAGGTGCGGATTTCTTGTCTCTATAATCGTTTATTAGCTTATCAAATTGCTGAGTTATCCAAATGCTTTAAATCTTAATGTAAGATTACTCTGAAAAATCACCATGAGAAATTTCAGAAACAAATTCGAAGTTGCGCCTTTGATATTTTTGCTTGAAGATTAGAGAAATGCACATTCTTATTTATTATTATTAGTTTGATTGGCTATTTGCGCACGAAGTTGAAGGAAATTTTGAAGTAGATAAACTATTACTAATCCTTTTCTCCTTCTAAGAACAAATTAAAAGGACCATTATGGAGAAGATTATTCAAATTCATGTTTTTCTTTATCCAATGTGTATAATTTGAAACCAAATCTGCTACATAGCCTCAGGAAATTAGGTTAGCTTTATATGTTTAGCGTGTTTTGGACAATGATTAGTTTATTACCTCTCATGCCTTATAGTGATTTCATCTTAGCAGAATTTTGATGCTCTTGAGGCTCAGCCCTTTTGATTTGGTCTTGGATATATCATTTTTTGTTCTCTTTGTGTAGGATTATTGTTGTGCTGAATATGGAGACTATAATTTTAGAGTATGAAATTATCGGGAACCCGAAACTTATTACTGGATCTGAACCGGAACCTAACAAGTCAATGCCTAATAACAATTTGGAGCCTTCTGTGAGGTCCACCAATAATAGATATAGCGCTCAAGCTCCTGCTAATAATGCCCAGAGTTTCCGGCCGACTATTCAACCCGCATACCAGCCACCTCCAAATTACAAAATTCAGGGACCAATAATGAAAAATGAGGCCCCAGCGCGGATAATTCCTATTGCTGCTTTAAATCCTTATCAGGGACGTTGGGCTATCAAGGCTCGTGTGACTGCAAAAGGGGACCTTCGTCGCTACAACAATGCTAGGGGAGATGGGAAAGTCTTTTCCTTTGACCTCCTTGATTCTGATGGAGGTGAAATACGCGTGACCTGCTTCAACACAGTTGTTGACCGCTTCTACAGTGTCATTGAAGTTGGTAAAGTTTACTTGATTTCCAAGGGTAGCTTGAAACCTGCAAAAAAGAATTTCAACCATTTAAAGAACGAGTGGGAGATATTCTTGGAGTCAAATTCAAGTGTGGAGCTATGCTCTGATGAAGATGGCTCTATTCCAAGACAACAGTTCTCCTTCAGACCTATCAGTGAAATTGAGAGTGCTGAAAATGATTCTATACTTGATGTTATTGGTATTGTGATATCCGTTAACCCTTCAGTTCCTATTTTGAGAAAGAATGGTATGGAAACTCAGAGACAAATCCTGAATTTGAAGGATGCATCTGGGAAGAGTGTTGAGGTAACTCTTTGGGGTGATTTCTGTAACAAGGAAGGTCAAAAGCTGCAAGGGATGGTTGACTCGGGGGTTTTCCCAGTTTTGGCAGTTAAAGCCGGAAAGGTCAATGACTTCAATGGAAAGTCCATTGGCACTATTTCTTCCACACAGCTCTTTATAGATCCAGATGGTCCAGAAGCTCAGGGCCTGAGAAACTGGTTTGAAAGTGGGGGTAGAAATACTACTTCTATCTCTATTTCTAAAGAAATTATGCCAGGAGGATCAAAAAATGAGATACGTAAAACCTTAGCTCAGATCAAGGACGAAGGTCTTGGAAGATCCGATAAGCCAGATTGGGTCACAGCCAAGGCGACTGTAGTTTTCATTAAAACAGATAATTTCTGCTATACAGCCTGCCCTTTGATGATTGGAGATAGACTGTGCAATAAGAAAGTGACACAATCCAGTAATAAAAGATGGCTTTGTGACCGATGCAACCAAGAATTTGAGGAATGTGATTTCAGATATCTTCTCCAGGTCCAGATTCAAGACCATACAGGACTGACTTGGGTAACAGCTTTCCAGGAATCCGGCGAAGACATCTTGGGATGCTCGGCAAAGGAAATGTATTTGTTGAAATACGAACTGCAGGATGATATCCGATTTGGTGAAATTATTCGTAGCAGACTCTTTCATCAATACCTGTTCAGGCTTAAAATCAAAGAGGAACTTTATGGTGATGAACAAAGGGTAAAGATCACCGTGGTGAAGGTTGACAAGGTAAACTACACCGCAGAAAGCAGGTACCTTCTCGATACGGTAACAAAGAAAATTCCAATTAAAAAACAATTCTGAACGCTAAGTAATGATTTAGTAGCTGTAGCTTGGATTCAATTTAGTTGGTTAACATTTCTCCGGCATTATCGGTTTACATAATTGCTTTTAATGATTCAGATTCTGAGTGTTATTTAGATCAAATATTTGTAGAGACCTTTCATGATTGTATAGTGGCTATAATTCTGGGTTTTCTTGATCTCGGGTATGGCATTTTAGTGCATGTTAACTGCTTTGGAATTCTTAGTTTGATCGGTCGAGCTTTAAACCTAAGGTGACCTTCACGAGTGTCGCTGTTCTATCTGTTGTTTACATTCCTGTGGAGTAATGTAAAGATGATCTTTGAAATAGATGAAAAGAACTCGAAAATTTAGGTTACTCCTGTAAGATACGTGTAAGTATTCGACACCACATGCATATTCGAAACCATGCAGGGAAGTTTATATTTAGTGTTTACCAATGCCAAGGTGAATATGGTATGGGCAGGTACATGAATTTGCTATGCCAACATGGTGGTCGATAGCTCATACCAAGATCAACCATATATGGTTATGATGGATCTTCTAGGTTTTGCTCAAGCTCAATTCGAAATTCAGTGCTCAAAACTCAGAGCAAAACTTTTTAATAAACATTTGTTTATGATGGATCTACAAGGATTAAAGATGACTCTTCAGCCAAAACTTTTTGTTGTCTGCTGACTTCATGTTTGATTCTTCGTATTTTATTTATGGAATAAATATATAATATTTAAAGTGACTTTATTTTTTAGTTAAATATCAATGTAGCTATCATCAACATCTTTTTTATATATATAATTAATAAAATGTTTTAGTTTCTTTAAAAGAAAAATAGAATAAAACCTTAACACAATAATTAATCATAAATGAGAAATTAATTGGACAGATCGAAAGCAAACGGAGCAAAACTCATCATATTGTGTATCTTCCCAACTAAATTTATAGAAAACATTAAATCCTATTTAAAAGATACAGAGTGTTTCCATGTCATGTCATTTTTAATAGAGTTTAAACTTAAGGAAATATTTGGAATATGATTAATTTTAAATTAACACTTGAAATTAAATAAATTATATAAAGCGATTCTTGTGTAATTTATTTACGTCTAAAATGTTTTGTATTTAAATAATTTTTTACATTAACGATTTAATATTATATATTTTAATTGATTTTTATTATCCTATTCGTATTTTACCAATATTTTTAAAAAAATATTTAATTCATTTCGAGAATGCGGTGTATACTATTATTATTAAGGTATCTTTAGGGTAACTGACCTAAACCCAAATGCTGAATGTCTTGTGAAGGATAATGGGTCCCAAAGCGAAATAACATTATTTGTAAAGTCAATTGAAATTAAAAAAAAAATAAGTATTTTTTAAAAAATATTTTAAATAAAGAGTTAATTGCATCTATCCTCAAGCTATGAGTCTTATTTTAAATTGATACTTAAATATTAAATATATTAAATTTACCCATTAATAATAACTTATATTAAATTGATCTTAATTTTATTTAATGTTCTAATTTCGTTCACAAACTATTATTTCATTTTAAATTGGCCCTTAAATTTTGAATGTTCTAATTTTATTTTTAAACTATTAGTATATGTTAATCTATTGATAAAATCATTTCAAATATTATTAATTGTCATATACACGTTAATTTATTTTATATAATAATATGATGTGATATAAAAATAATTAATATTGAATATAAAAAAATAATGATTTAACTTTGAAACCAGGAAAAATTATTTATAAATAAATTGAGAGAACATAAGTAAAAACCTAAGAATCTTTTAATTTTATTTTAAATAGTGATTTTAGAGGATGCCATACAACATTTAATTATTGTTTACGCTAAATGATATTATTACATTATACACATCAATATTTACCTAACATGTAATAATTTTTAACGGGTTTATTAACAAAGGCATGATCAACATATATTGAATACTGATAGTCGGTAGATTAGAGATGAAATTGAAATATTCAAAAGTTCAGGAATTATTTTAGAATGACGATGATACTTTGGAGATTAAATTGAAACATTTGAAAATTTGAAAATTTGAAAATGAGAATCATAATTTAGGAATGAAGTTGAAATGTTTAAACATGTGAAAGCTAATTTAAAATAAATCATAATTTAAGGACATACTATGAAATTAACTCTAAATAAAACGAAAGAAAAAAAATTAAACTACTAACAGAGGGAACAACCACATAAAAAACAGTCATCAGAGAAGCAGAAATTAAAAGGAAAAACGCAGCTACTCCGGCCTACGAGACGACGAAGCAAATGGTTTCTTACGTAAACGTATTGTTGTACGGAGTGGGAGGGATAGTGGTAGCCGGGATAGCGTTGCTGGTGGCTTTTCAAGAGAAGCTCGTTTACGTTCCGGTTTTGCCTGGTCTAACCAAGTCTTACCCGATAACACCGGCCCGACTCCGGCTCACCTACGAGGACGTTTGGCTCCGGTCCTCCGATGGAATCAAACTCCATTCTTGGTTCATCAAGCTCTTTCCTGACTGCCGAGGTCACTTTCACAGTCTCACTCCTGATCTGCTTTTTTAGCGTTTTATTTTATTTTGTTATGTTTTTTATTTTAAATTGAATTATAGTAATTCTGCTGGTTTCAGTTATTTTCTAGTGGGGCTAGGGATTAGGGTTTGGTTTTCGGTTTGAATTTTTGGAGCTAGTGGTTCTTTTTGCTGGGGCTTTTAGGTTGAGATTTTTTATTTTTGGAGGAAGATTTTTAGTTTTTGTTCGAAAAATGGTTTGTTTTTATCCTTGTTGCTGCTCTTTTAGAACTTTGAAGATAGGATGATTGAAACAAATTCTAAATTATAAGAGTTCATTTCAACTAAATGAGAATTGAAGCAATTGTTGAGATTAAGCTTATGACATGTCATTTAAAGTTAGGTGAAAGATGATTTTGACTATTAATTATGCATTTTTTTCTATTTGCTTTGATCTAGGGTCTCGATTTGGCTATTACATGTGTTTGAAAGTTTAGGAGAAAACTTGTAAACTCTTGGGAGAAAATGCCTATACTGAGCATTTAAGTTGGGCATAGCTTAAGCATATGCTAGGATGTTGTTTTTCAATACATCGTAGCATGTTGGTGTTCTTATATTAAGATTGCAACACCATTTCATTGCTTAGAAAGTAGTTCTGTTGATTTTGTAGGTCCAACCATCCTGTTTTTTCAAGAGAACGCTGGAAGTATCCTTTTCATCAGCTTTATTTATTTATTTTGCGTTATAATTTTTACTTCACATTTTACTGGATTCAAATTGGCAAAATATTTTTCTAATTATGAAATCTAATGTCCTTGGGCAACCTTGACTGTAACCTGTAGATATTGCTCACCGTCTGGAAATGGTTCACATAATGCTACAGAGATTACAATGCAATGTCTTCATGCTTTCATATCGAGGGTGTGTGTCCTTAATATCTAATATGATGCTTCTTTGTTTTTAGCTTTCTTATGTTGTTAGCATCATGGCCTTGAGTACACCTAGCATACAACTGAACTTATCTACTGAATGAAGTTTAACATCTGATTGATCAAACAGTTATGGAGCAAGTGATGGTTATCCTTCTCAGCATGGAATTATTAACGATGCTCAGGTTGTGACTTCTTTTCTTTTCTAGATACGTAAGGCTACTACCTTAACAAACTAGCAACTCTAACTATATGTTTCTTCTTTTTCCTTCCTTTTTTTCTAATTTAGGCTGCACTGGATCATCTCTCCCAGCGGACGGATATTGACACAGATAGAATAGTAGTCTTTGGAAGATCACTTGGGGGTGCTGTTGGAGCTGTAGTCACCAAAAACAATCCTGATAAGGTATCCGTCTTGTGATTATTTCATTACTTTTCTTTTTTATGAGGCTAAAGAGATTTAGAATCAGAAATGTATTGTAATACAGTGGTTCAAACTCATACTGGACAGATTATCAACAAAATAGTTTAACATGTTATGCATGTTGGACGGTATCCTGATTAGACTTTGATTTTGTCTGCTCTAACATGACATGACATGGCATGATTGTATTGGTATCCTGGCAAGAATATAATTAAATATGCACATATACTTGTAAAACTTGCGGTCTGATTGGAGATGTAGGATCGATGTTCAAAAGATGGAGAAATTTGATATGGTTTTAAGTAAGTTTCGAAGGATGATGGGAGTACTGACAACATGCACTTGAGGAATAACACATTGAATGAGCATACCTTTAATTTTCCTGTATTTGGACTGTTATATTCCCTAGTTGATTACTATTGTTTATTTGTTTAATGCATGGGTTTTTGCCACTCATATGATCATGTCGCTCTAGTTTAATTCATCTTTGATGGTAGAAGGGATTTCTACAAACAATTTGAGTATGTCATGCCTTGGGTTGCCTTTAAATTTCAGGTTGCTGCATTGATACTAGAAAATACTTTCACATCGATTCTGGACATGGCTGGAGTTTTATTGCCTTTCCTGAAGTGGTTTATTGGAGGCCCTGGTACCAAAGGTCCCAAAATTCTTAATTTTCTTGTCCGCTCTCCATGGAGTACCATTGACGTCATTGGCCAGGTAATTACACGTTGGTTGGAAATTTAACTAGACTTTTTGAATCTTTAGACTATATTAGCGTCATATATATGATGAAAAATCTCCTAAATCTATTAGTAGCCTATTTGAGTGAATCATGAAGGAAATGAGTAGACTTAATTTAGGTACAAGATAATTAGTACTTAGGTTGGCATTTTCGACCTATTTGTATTTCTCTAATGCACCTGAAACTAGGAAGACGGGATGGTGATGCTTGTTCTACTTCGAGTGTATATGTCTCTCAGTCACCTCATTAATTGATGCTTCTTTTGCTATTTTGAACATAAATCTGCAGGTCAAGCAGCCTATCCTTTTTCTTTCTGGATTGCAAGATGAGATGGTTCCGCCATCCCATATGCAGATGCTATATGCTAAAGCAGCAGCTCATAACAGACAATGCCTCTTTGTAGAATTCCCTACTGGCATGCACATGGACACTTGGTTAGCCGCTGGTGACCACTACTGGAGAACAATTCAGCAATTTTTTGAAAAACATGTGCCGAAAAATGAACATGGTAATTCACCTTTTCCCCGGTATAACTATTGCTAGATGATATTTGACAAGATTAGATTTTGGCCTCTGGAATATGATTTCCCCATATCTCTTGCAAATATAGATTTGCCTTCTTGAGGTCATATTTTGAAGTTTGGCTAACCTTTTTTTCCCTAGTCCATGCTTTTCTCCTAAGCCTAGCTGCACCTTGTGAGCAACCTAGTTTCTACCACATCATGTTGACAGTCATGGAAGAATATATTACTGTTGTAAGCATAATTTAAGGCCATGACACCAGGGCTATATTATTTAAATTCAACCAGAACGTTTTCGCTCCAAATCTTTAAATGCTTTTTCCCCTGAACTTCGTGTATCTGGAGATTTAGAAATAATAAAATAGAAACAAACCTACTCATGCTTAAAATTAGCCATTATTATGCTAGGGGGATAATAAGGCACCTATAAAACTGTGTGCTTCATATTTATTGTTGTCTCTCTGATTTCTCTTTTTTCTTATTTCCAAAGTAGCCGGAAAACTGTTGATAGTATGTAAATTCTCTCATTACTGTTTTGTGCCCCCGCCCCCTTCCCTCGCTATCTTTTCCTCTCTTATTGATGGGTGTCTAATGTTGCTTTCAGATTCCCTGAGGTGACCGGCAGGCATGTAATCTTTTGAGATTTTATTATTTGGCTCACACCCTGGAACTCAAGCTTTGTCCCATTCTTTTGAAGTTGCAGCTGGTAGAAGCGCTCTATAAACTTAGACCCTGCAGTTGTCGTCGATCATTGTCTCCTCTATTTTTTTATTTTACTGGCATACAAAACATAAGCTGATTAAAAGCGATGCAGAGAAAGAACACTCATTCCCTCTTAGTATACGGTACGACTGGCTTTGACGAGCATGTGAAATGCCATACTAATTCTGCTGGTTCCATTTGTATGAAATAAGAGAACTATTTTAAAAAACACTGCAGATGTGTGGGTGGTGCTGATATGTTTGAACTATTTGGTTCTCTGTTTTTGTATGGGACAATTTAGGTTGTTTTTGTAACTCTTTTTCTATTGTTTTTAATGGTAGTTTTGAACTGTTGTGACAACTTGAGTAGCAATGAGTTTACTTGGGTTGATTTATTTTATCATATTTAATTTTTTTAAATTTAAAATTTTACCTCGAGTATCACCATTTTAAAAGTGAAGTATTAAAATAACCTCTATTATTTAAAATGACATTCTTTTGAGGTTATATAACATGATACATTTTTTTAAAAATATGCCAGGTCATTTTTTTATGAATATGAGGTAAGTATAAGATAATATATGTTTAAAGATAATTCTCAACTAATTTGACATTAAACATTTATATTTCTGGCATTGTTGGTGCTCGAATTCGGAATCTCAAGGAATAACAATAATTTCTTTACCACCGAAATCATTGGAGTTCTTGTTGAATATAACATTTTAAATACACTTATCGAGTGATTGAAAATAAAATTTATGTATTTACTGTTATTCGATACGTGTTCGCACTAATATGTATTATTGACATGTATAACATGTGATTTTTTTAAAAAAAAATTGTATTTTTTCTTTATTACTTTTTTGTCCTTTAATATATGTTCTATTTAAAACATATTCAATAAAAAACTATATTATTTTAATAATTAAGTAATTTTTAGAATGATATATTTGAATAAAAAATCTGAAGTTAAAGCCAAATAAAAACAAACGAGCTCCGATCCATTTTTTAACCCTAATTTAGGAGCGAATAAAATTCAACTCGACTTGAAACATTTTAAGTCGAGTTATAAAATACAACTTTAATAGTAACTCAAATAACTCAAAATTTTAAGTAATTAGTGGATTGATTTTTAAGTTTGAGTCGAGTTTCTTGACTTTGTATGATATATGATTATATCTAAAGAAATATATATGTATTGTATATGATTATAAAAAAAAAACATTTAAATTATAATCAAATAATGTCATAATATTATAAATATTTACAATTAAATTTAAATAAAAACTCAAAAAATTTACTCGACTAAAAATTTCAAATCAAATTTTAATTATAAAATAATATTTATCAACTCGAATAACTTAGTTTTTTTTTTGACTCTACTAGATTAAACCTCTCTCAAAATTTTAGCTAATTAAAATTCAGGTTTTGAATGCAGGTTTCGAATCCGTAAAATGTCATTTTACAAATATACCCACTAAACCCCAAAACGTGGCAAGTTTTCAGCCACACACTTCACGCCACGTGGGCTAAAGTAATTTTCGTCCATGTCGGACCTAGGTATTCCAAGTTCTGTCTCTGAAAAGGAAAACAAAATTAAAACCACAAAATCTGACCTTTTACTTACTGTTTTATAAATTAAACTAAAGAGTACGTTTTTCATCCAATTGCTAATACTCTACTAATATATATATTATTTGACAGTGTTCCTCCTACTTCTTCTCACATGCATTCTTGTTGTTTTTGAATTTTGATTTTCGAATTTTATCATCTCTTTCTCCGTTAAGCTCACTGCATTCGAAGTGTTTGGATTATGGACGGAGGAACTCTGCAAAACGCCAGAACAGTTGAGGAAGTCTTTAAAGATTTCAAAGGCCGTCGTGCCGGCATCATCAAAGCCTTAACCACCGGTCTTTTCTTCTCCTCCTCCTTTGAGATTTTAGGGTTATGTTTCCATGTTTAACTTTTATAGCTTTTTTTTTTTGTCGCAGATGTTGCCGAATTTTTTGAACAGTGCGATCCTGGTTAGTGACTTTTGGACATTTGAAATTTATGTTGTTACGTTACGATTTTTGGACGTGATGATTGATTGATAAGTAGCAGCTGGATTTGATTAATTTCGTTTCCTATTTATGCGTATTGTAGTATCCCAGAATTTTGCTACGTTTAGATATATAGTATTTTGGTTATTTAATGAAGCAAAATAGTCCACTCTTCGAAAATTGAGATAGGCTTTCTGCGAATTGTTTTCTTCTTGCAGTCAAGTTTGTCTTTGAATATTTTTACATGTGATTGTTTAAGTTTAAATGATGCGATCGAAACTCAGATTTGGTTGAAATTTTCCACTACTTTATTTTGTGTTTTTATTGGAATTTGGATCTGAACCATAAGCCTCTCAATGTCCAAAGCATGTTCAGTATGAATATTCAATTTGTTTGGCTATCTGGAGCCTTGTATCTAACGTGCCCTGATAGTTAATTTTATCCGTTGTTGATGGTTTGTTTCATGTTTATTATTATGCTGTTTGTAATTTGCCAAACTTCAATTGGATGCGATTCTACTCTGTTTCTCTATTACATCTTAGAATTTTGTTCGGCTGACATTCTGGATTTCAGAGAAAGAGAATCTTTGCTTGTATGGACTTCCTAATGAACAGTGGAAAGTTACTTTACCTGTTGACGAAGTACCTCCAGAGCTTCCGGAGCCTGTATTGGGTATTAACTTCGCTCGAGACGGTATGCAAGGAAAAGACTGGTTGGCACTTGTTGCCATTCACAGCGATGCATGGTTACTAGCGGTGGCTTCCTATTTTGGTGCTAGGCTTAGTATTGATAAAACCAACAGGTATAATTTTGTCACCTTACCTGCTGCAATCTTTCCCGTGTTGAGTAATATACAGGGAGAAATCTTAATAATGCTTGGTGAACTGCATGCTTAATCAAACTTTATGAAAACCATAAGCTTTGGTGGACACCATAAAAATTTCATGTAGCCATTTAGATGTTTCACTGGATGTTGTTTACATCATCATTTTTTACCTTGGGTTCTATTTGATCAGCTCTTTCATATGCATGGTCAATGACATGTGAGTTAATGCTGGATATGAAGCTTGGGAACAGATGGGACATTAAGTGAAATTTACTGCTTATAGTATTTATGATATAAAGATACTTAAAACAAGATTGAATGGGATTTCTCCTTTAGGAAGAATGTTTTCATTTTTGTCATGTGTATCATTTTGCTAGATACTCGCATGTATTTAATGGTGTTTGAAGGATGTATTTGCAAACATATGCTTCGTTGCAGGAAGCGTCTCTTCAACTCTATACATGATCTCCCTACAATATTTGAAATAGTCACTGGAAGTGCCAAAAAGCAGGCAAAGGAGAAGTCGTCGGTTTCAAATCATATAAGAAATAAATCCAAGTCAAGCACAAAAGCTGTAAGTGGGACATTGCTGATTAAACTTTTTCTGATGGCTTAAGTATGGATATTGGTTTAATATTAGTGACAACGTACAATAGCAATGCGTGCTTCCAATGAAGTCTCAACCAATGTTATTAGGAACTCTTGAACTTCATTTCTCTGGTAGGCGTAGTACTCTCTATTTAGTGTCAATTTTGTGTGGAATTCTTTAAATTAACGTAGTGCTTCATTATGTGATGTTGTACACATTTATTTCCTCTTTTACAGAGAGGATCTGAATCTGCTAAATACTTGAAGATTATGCAGCCAACCGATGAGGACGAGGGATTGGATGAGGAGGACGAAGAGGAGCACGGCAATACCTTGTGCGGGGAATGTGGTGAGAACTATGCTGAGGATGAGTTCTGGATTTGTTGCGACATATGTGAAACTTGGTTCCATGGCAAATGTGTCAAGATAACCCCCGCCATGGCCGAGCATATCAAGCAGTACAAATGTCCGTCTTGCAACAACAACAACAAGAAGAGGGCAAGACCTTACCGCTGAGGAGATGCGGATTCTATCAGCTTGTAATCTTCTTAGAGACTTTCAGTTGGATATATTGGTATTAGTAGTTTTCTGGTTCTGAACTTGTACTCTTAGATTTGGTTATATAAAATTTCCCGTTTATGAAATCTCTTTCTCGGATAAGTAAAGATTGTTCTAATTCATTTGCATATGATGGGACAAGCAAAATTCATTAACTACTCGACCGCAATTTTACTAAAAATTTATTTTTTATTGAAATAATACCCATTTATCGAAATGTTTCTATTTTAGATAAAATGCGTTCTACAAAACGGTCTCATGCGTACGTAACAAAGGTGCGCAATTAAAAATATTATGATTTTTATTATATTTTTTGTTGCACTCCAAAATCATCATTTTTTATTTATTTTAAATATAGAACTTTCTACAATAGACGAGTGGATCCATATTTTATTATTCACCCAATTATTTCATAACACTTGTCACCCGTCTACCAATAAACCAAAACAGATCCACGTCATCATTGACCAAATTACTTCCTACCTATTTTTTAATAAAATTAATTTAGTATGTTTATATTAATATTTATTGATTTTATAAAAGAAATTATTATTCTAGAAACGGTCCAACTCAACACGGAAGGATTAAATAGGCGTTGAGTTATAAACAAATATAAATACTATTAATTGATTTTTAATAAATTTAAAGTATTTTTATCTGATCAGATTCTTATAATTGTATCATTATGTGAATAAAAAGTACGATTTACAAAATATATTCTTGGTGTAATGTATTTTTATTTTACGTAATATTAAAATATTTATTAAAAAATAATTTAAACAAATATTAATTTGAAAATAATTTTTAGGATAATATTTTAATAAAAAAATGCCTAAGAAGATTGAGTGAAGAAATGGTTTTAGTATAATCTCAATTAAGAAATTCGTAATATTTAAAATCAGAGTATTGTTCAGTAAAATATAAATTAAAGATATATGTATTCACGCGGCAAGCTACCACCTTTTCCCTCTTTGTCTTCTTCGTTTATTCGATTTGATTTCAGTTACAAACACCAAAAGGGAAGAAATGTCGAGCGGCGACGAATTCATGGAGGAATTGAATTCAAATGGGGATTCATCTGGGAAGGTGCGCCGGAGGTTCAAAGATCGAACGGAGGTATAATTGTTAGCAACCCATTGGTTTTCTTTTCCTTATTTTTTTGAGTCATTTTTAATCGAAGTTTATGTTTTTCCCCTGTAATTTTATTATTTGGAGTTGATTTTTTTTGGCGCTGAAAGTGGCGAAAACAAAGGAGATGTTGTCTAAACAAGCGGTTCAAACGAAGGAGATGCTGTCGAAACAAGCTGCTAAGATCGCTAAACAAGCTGAAGAACACGAACGCTTAATCAACAAGGTAATATTTTCAACGTTTTTCTTCTTCTTCTTTATATCCATGTTTGTTTTATGTAATTAATTCCTGGGTTTTATGTTTATCATTAAGAACGTGGATCTGAAGTTATAATTTTCTATTTTTTTATTGTTTTTTCTTTCATGGGTTTTTTATGTTTTAGGCGACACATCTTTTGGGGGTTCTCGGGTTTTGCTTTCTATTAGGAGCAAGTAAGTTAACTCAGCTTTGAATTCATGTAATCGATTGCTCAAAACGTTGGCTATTGAATCCATTAATGTTTTTGCTCTTGTTTTTTGGACATGAAATTTTGACTCAGGGCCACAAGATATCCCTTATGTATCACCTTTGTCCCTCTTCGATGGATATACTATCGCTTTAAGAAATGGCATTATTATCTTCTGGTAAGATCTATCGTTGATTGTTCGGACTTGTTTTTGAGAAGTTTTTCAAAAGGTTGCATTGAAATCTGACAGAAAATGATGCATTTCTGTGTATGCCAGGATTTCTGTTATTACGCCAATACAATCTTCTTGGTCGACCTTCTTCTGTATCCGAGGAATGTAAAGTTTTTTATGATTTGCTTCTCATTTGCTGAGGTAAAAATCGGGGTACTTGGTTTCTTACATACATCTCAATTGGTGAACGAATCGGTTTTAACTTCTTTGTTCTTCCTGGTTGCTACTTTAGGGTCCGCTCCGCTTGCATGGGCGCTCATTGTTTGGCGTTGTAGCTTGGTTTTTAGTTCTGTGGACAAAATTATTAGCGTCCTTATGCATCTTTTACCTGGTATGTTTGCAATCCTTATTTCACAACTTTTCTTTCCATGGGCTTAGTTTCATGTACTTTGTGAAACTATAGATCCTAGTAACTGTCTCATTATTCCTTGCCGGCGGTCCGGAAATCCCACTCAATCTGTGAAAATTGTTGACACTTTGTACCTTAGGTGGCTATGAGTATGAGTAGTAAATTCTGGAAATTCAGTGCATGGCAGGTAAGTGTTGCTTGAAACACCATTAAAAGTTGGTGGTTAAGGCTCTTTTATTTTGAAGGTGGTGGTTAAGGCTTTTTAGAAAGGCAGCACAAGCTTATATTTGTTTCTAATAAGTCCGAATGTGCTCGATGCCTAATGTAGTAATGTTCTGCTTTCAGGTATTGTTTTTTCCACGATTCGATGGTGGAATCCTGCAACCTGTGAAGCCATGCATCCTGAAGGTACATCTCAGAGATTTTCATGGCCTTATGTTGAAGACAAATCTTACCTATGGACTTGGCTGTTCGTGGTTCCCTTAGCTGCTTATACCCTCTGGCAAGTTCTTTTTTTCCTCATTGTCAACGTGCTACGTCGCCAGAGGCTGCTAATAGATCCTGAAGTCATGACTTACAGGTATGCTCTATATTTACCTCGATTAATGACATCAATTCCTTGTAAATATTGTTTTATATATTTAAGCTTTTCGATGATTTCTTCATTTTATAGGGAACTTTCTAAGAAAGCTCAGAAAGCAAACAACATATGGTGGCGTTTAAGTGGATTGCTAGGGGATCAGAACCGTTTGTTTATGTACATTTTACTCCAAGCCATTTTTACAGTCGCAACCATGGCACTCATAGTCCCCATCTTCCTTTCATATGAATTCCATGCAATTTTCCAAATACTCGAGGTTTCTGCATCTGTATGGAACGGAGGAAGCTTTCTGTTGGAAGTGATGCCGAGACAAGTGATTGTTAAGGAGGAGAAGAAATCCGAGAAGCAGGTGCCGCCGGCATCGCAAAACCAACAAGATCAGCATGCCGAAATGATCGGAAATGAGGTGAACAGATCTTCTGAGACCCACCAGCACCGTTCTGAATAGCTGTGCATAGATAGTTGGGTAGTGTTGCAGTTTAAGGTCAGTGGTGGGTTCTTTTATTAGATGGTCCTAATCTGTAATGATTTTATCAACGTTTCATCCAGACTGTAACCTTTGTAGAATTAAATTAAGAATTTTAATTCTTGTGAATATGGTAAAAACTTTTCTATCAAACTCAACATAATTGTTCTTAAAGAGATTGTGAACCACAATACAAGTCTCTTCCTAATCCATATCGCAGGTGGTCCATTCATACGGGCATGGGAGGTTATAAGGTTCCTGTTTGACTTCGAACAGAGCAGTTGGCTGCTCAATCGGGCCCTCCGGTAAACTAGTGCCCCGATTGACCAACAGGTTGAGTTTTCCAAAACTCATGGCTCGGTGCTGAGGATTATGGTTTCTAATGAGAGCCATCATCTTCGGGTAAAGGAAAGGGGTTAGCCTCAGAATTCTGATCTGGGTTTTCTTTGGGTGGTGGATCCTTATCAGTCATTTCAAACAATCAATTAATTTAAGCCATTTTCTCAAAATTAACATGAAGCTTGAGGGTTTTCTTCAATAGAGCGGCATTGAATGCCGACACAGAAAAACTCACTTGGCCTTGGTGGAATGGTAACAGTAGAAGTTTCAGTGTGTTGTTATCCAAACAAATTTCTTTTAATGCTCCGGTTGAGCCCAGAATAATGATTTATTGTTCTCGGGTCAGTAGAATCATTAATGTAACACGTATATAATATTTGAAAATTGTTGAAAGTCACAAATTTCAACATTAACCATAAGACGGACGTGCTCTGATTACTCAAAACTGAGGTTCTGTGACTAAAAAAAGCTTCTATAGTGGAAGAGAACTTATAGAAGACTTGACACCCAAAAATCAAGCAAAGTGGCCCACTATTTATTATAAATAAAGGTGTGAACAAGGTGACATGGATACAGCAAGCAAATTTACAATGCCATAAAGGTTCAAAAGTCAAGAACATGTCACAGATGACTGAGAAAGTCATAATCACAGAAATATGATAATGATATCCTCAATAAGAACAGTGAGTTTAAACTGTTAGGAAAATAAGCCATACCCACTCATTCGACCCTTCTTCACAGGCTTTAGTCACCAGCTTTTTCCATCAGTGGAGAAATTTAATGGCTTTGGGTATAACCATGTCACCGCCAACGATACACTCTGTTTCCAAGTTCTGTAGCAGACCCATTTAATAATGAACTCTCTCATCACTTTCGAATTGCAGGCCCCCCATACCCTTGAGGGCAGCTTCGTAGTTCTTGGCATGAGAGGTGCTTCTCCCAGATGATAAGCGCCTGGGGTCTCCATGGCTAGCATCAGCTGCACGAGAACGTTGGGGGTCAGCCTCACTACCAGCAAAAGCTTCGCGACTGCTAGAAGCTGCAGCTTGCCTTGAAGAGGATCCACCTGTCTGCCCCATAAACTTGGTGCAAGTAAAAATTCAAATTAGCATTAAAAGATAAGAATCAAACGTGATATACATCGGTACTGTCAAATGTAAATAGGACTTATTCATAGGAGTGCGTGTGTGTGTATGTAGATGCATCCTCAATCAAAAGGAAGTAAGACGGTAACTGGAATGCTAGACTGTATCCAATCCATGTGCATAATCATAAAAACAAAAATACCATAGTGTCTTTAGCAGCTGCAGGATCATTTGCAACTGGATTTTTCTGCTTCGCTTGACTTCCAGAATTCAAGGGTCCTGATGTTTTCCGCCGAGAGGAATTCATGGATGACAAACCAGTTGCTCGCGCATTCTCTCCAGCTGAAAGCATTCATTTTCTTATTAAATATCAAAGAAAAAAAATTTAAGAAAAGGAGTTACATAGCAGGTCATAGAAACAAATACTTGAGTGAAAAAAATTCAAAACTTCAATAGTAATGCTAATAAAAAAGCTCAAACGTATGAAAGGAACACCAGTTACCTGTTTGTCTGTCTGCGCCAATGCCAGGGGGCAGGGGAGAACTTGTTCCAGCACCGGGGCCCTACCAGAGACGAGCATTACAAAAGATAAATCCATACTATTTACAGAAAAACAGCAGCAAACACCCTATTAGGAACTTACAATGGCTCGAGCTGGAGGAGTGGTCAGCTGTGATTGCTGATACTTCAAAATGGTCCAATCAAAGACATAATCAAACTGGAAGCCTGTTTAGTAATGGACAAACAAGAACAATGAGACGTGACATTACCATGATCAATGGAAATAATGCAAGTTGACAGTATGGATTGTTAAAAATGTAAACCTTCACGAATAAAGAGGTCACGAAAGATTCTTTTGAGGTAAGAGTAGTCTGGCTTATCATCAAATCTTAGTGAACGACAATAATGGAAGTATGATGCAAATTCTGTTGGATAACCTCGACATAAGGCCTGGAACAACACATCAGTATTCAGTCATAAATATTAAACTTAAAATCAGAAGCTCCAAGCAATTGCAAGATTCAAACACATTCTCTTTATGGAAGCCTAATGCAATTGCAAGATTCTTTCTAATACAACATTCCCTTTAAGAAAACCTAATGCAATTGCGAGGTTCAAACACATCTTTACCTCAATTGAAGTAGAAACCTTCTTCTCACTAATTCTCTCGTACTTCTGTTTCTTTGTTCCAGCTTTCAGACCTTGCCAAGGAAGACTGTTAAAAAAGAAGAAACACCAACACTGAAAACTAATGTGGAGATATACACAAGACAAAGAAGGAAAGTAACATAGGTAGCAAGAATTCACCTTCCTCTTAGGAAGTACATAAGCACATATCCAAGAGATTCCAAATCATCTCTACGGCTTTGCTCTGCATGGTATAGGCAGAGAATCAAAATTGAGAAGACTAAAAGGATTCATACATCAACAAAAAGACGCCTAAAATTGACCACACATACCAATGCCCAAGTGGGTATTCATGCTTGCATATCTTGCAGTTCCAGTCAGATTCTTATTCTCCCTGAAATGGTCATGACCAAGTAATATATAAAAAAATTGGCTTCATTCACGCACTGCAAAGTGCAAACTGTCAAAAAATAAATCAAAAAAAGAAAACTGAAAGATAGAATTGCCAATGCAAGGTAAAGAAGTTCAATGCATCATTTTTTCCACCACAAGTAATACAACTATCAACATGACAACTCGGTTACACTATTGGTATTAATTACAATCAATGAGAAGTGAAACAAAGGTTTCTGAACTATACAATACAATATATCACACTATGTGAATTTCTCTCACCTGTAAGGAATGTGTTGATGTGAACTGTCTCTATATTTCTTGGCCAGACCAAAGTCAATCATATAGACCTATGTGAAAGTGAAAGTGATGTCACATTAGATATTCCTGCAACAAATAAAAAGAAGAAAGAAAAATGGCATACATAACATAAAAATATTTTGAGCAGAAAGCAGAAACCTGATTCGCACGCCTTCCCAGGCCCATGATAAAATTGTCTGGCTTAATATCCCGATGTAGAAATGATTTTGTGTGAACAAATTCAACACGATTGATCTGCGAGAAAACAAAATAGCATCAGGCAACAAGACAACAAAGGAAGAGGAACCAAAGCTACCAATGTATGAAAGTCTAAAAGGCTACCATTTGATCAGCAAGCATGAGAACTGACTTCAATGAGAGTTTCCTACTGCAGAAGTTAAATAGATCTTCAAGACTAGGTCCAAGCAAATCCATAACCAAAACATTATAGTCTCCCTCAACTCCAAACCATCTTACATTTGGAATCCCAGCTGCCAAGATAAAGATCGAGATAGGGAAAGTAAAAAACAAAAAACAAAAATCAGCATAAGAAACAAAAGAATAAATATGAAATTTAAAAAAACAGCCAAAGATTGAAACAAGAGCTTTATGTTCTAAGGGGAAAAAACTGAAAGTATATCATTACTTCCTCCCTGCAGGATCCTGTACAACTTTGATTCATATAACAACTGAGGATGCTTTGTCTTCACGTTTTCCTAATCATTAAAGAAAAGGAAACTTCCTTATGTAACATAAAGAATATAATATGGATATTAAAATAAGTACAACAAAGGAGAAATTATTACTAAATTTGAAATAAGCAAGCTTTGTTTTACAGACTGTCAAAACTTAAACTAATAAAATCAAACCAATAAAAATAATTTATTAATTATGTCAGTCAGATTGAAAGAATTCTAACCAAATCTCGAGAAAATAATGAGAATGACATATAGACAATGGCAAATTGGTAATTAACACTGCAAAGTAAGTCACCCCTTTTAACCTTAATTATCTCAGGATATAACTGCCCAAATCTTCTTCTTGTCTACTATGATGCCAGCCAACAATTAGAAAATAAGAAATTTAAACTTATGAGCAAACTCAATCCTCCTTGAGATAATATATGATGATACTACCAAGTTAAACCATAATTAACAGTTTTCTTCTCTGTTTTCTCTCTTTTTCGTTAAGGGCGTCCACAAACTATGATCATCGTTAATTTATAGTAAACCAAGAACTATAGCAAAAATAATCCCAAGTGAGGTCAAGAAGCAAGAACAGAATCCAATATGTAAAGGGCTTCAACATCGGCATTGTTGTCATACTTTCCCAGAATATTACAATTTTATCCTCCTCAATGACATGATTCTACAGTTTATTGCTTCAATATATCCTATGACTAAACTGCATCACGAAGTTAGAAAAGATTACGCTAAAGCATGAAATTTAATGAACATTAGCTCGGATTAAAACCCAGCCAGAATATCAACAACTTTGATATAGAATGTTAATATGCAATAAACTAAAGATACAAGCAAGAAAATCGTGCAAAATTAAACAAAAAGGAAAGTGAATTTGCAAGGGCTACTTACAAGCTTAATGGCAACCTCTTCATTTGTCTGAATATTCGTACCTGCAAAGAAAAAAGAAATATTATGCTATATTCAAATCATAGGAGGAAAAGGGGAAATAAAAAAATGCGACAAACCCAAATAGATCTCTCCAAAAGAACCGCTGCCGATCTTACGACCAAGTCGAAACTTATTACCGACACGAGGCTCCATCAATTGCAAGCCCTAACTATAACTTGAAACCTTGATTCAGAAAGCTCCCCCAAATTTAAAAATGAAAAAGGTGGATAATATACGGAGACTCTAGATGGTAAACACCCAATCACCCGCTCCGATAATTCATACACATCGAAAGTCTCGATCACGTATAAGATTTTTTTTAAAAAAACCAACAATAAAATAATAATAGGAAAAAGGATCTGGCTTTCCAAAAAAATTGAAATTAACAGAAAAGCTAGGGTTAGGTAAATCGAAACGAAAGGGAACAAAACGGGGGAAGAGTAGCTAAAATAATCATAATTCTTTTCCTGGGAGTCGCTGGAAACAGAGAACCGGCATCAATTTCCATCTACATAAAGGTTGTTTGATATTTGACGGGTAATTTCGATGGGCTCCGTGGATTGGATTTTAGTTATCAACGCGACAATATCGATTGGTCGTCTATGTCCTATGAGCATTTTTAACTTTTTAAGCTATTTTTAAGGAATATATTTTAAATTCACAAATATTTCAAAAATTGTTAAATATCTATTTTTAATATAACTTTATGTTATAAATTAAATATGTAAAAGATTTAATACTATTTTAAATTTTCTATTACTTTAAAAATTCTAGGGTAAAATTCACAAATTGTCCCTTGAATATTAAAAGTTACACAATGCATTGCTTTGTTGAGCTCCTACTATTAAAAGTTATAAAATAGTCCCTCAATTATAGTGCATCACTTTGTTAAATCCCTTGAATATTAAAAGTTACACAATGGTCCTCCGACTAATCATATGTTCCAAACTCATAATTTTCTGTTAAAAAGTTCACGAAAATCTGAGTTAGACGTTAACTTGTTGATTGTGATATGATAAAATATGATCCCAAAATCTCTAATAACTATTATATCCCAGTCAACAAGTTAACGTCAAACTTAAATTGTTGTCAATTTTTAATAGAAAGTGACGAGTTTGGAATATATGAATAGTCAGGGATCCATTTTGTAACTTTTAATAGTCGGGGGACTCATCAAAGTATTGTCCTATGGTCAGGGGATCATTCTGTAACTTTTAATAGTCAAGGGACTCAACAAAGTAATTTCTTATAGTTGGGGGATTATTTGTATACTTTACCCATTCTAGTGAATCCCCTAATCAATTTTATCTTTATTTATTGAATTGATCCCCATACATATGGGAATTGGGTTTTGTTGTTGTTGTTGTTGTTATTGAATTGATAATTATAAAAAAGTATTGTCCTCTGCCTTTATGGCACGTTTTCGATCATTCGATCATTTTTTTGTTTATCTTTTTCTCGGTATTGAATTTGACATCGCCACGACTGATCAAGATGGTGTTTATTTGTTATCATGTTGATATTCTATGCTTTGGGCCACCACATTGAATTTGAATATGCGATTTGCGTTCGTGGATAGTTTTTTTCAAGTCGTTCGACTCTGAATTGGGATTTGTCAGTGGTCTTTCAATAGTTTGATATCCTTTTTTGGTTTATTTACCTATGCAATCAGATGTGTTTGTATCTACTTTTTAGTCGAGTTTATTTGGTTAGGTTATTTAATATTTTCTTTACATGATATTTGTGTGATCTCAAGTAACTAGTTTTCTTGTATTAATTTGTAACATCCCAAACTACGGGTTAGTGACTTTATTGTAAAGTTTTAGAATTTGTTGATTTAAATAGGAATATTTCAGTTGGATTAAGTAGTGAATATGAAAGAATTAAAAGGATAGTATGGTAATTTAGCTTAAAAGATATTGTCATCTCTCTATTTAGAGAGATACACGTGGAAGAGGAGATAATTCTCCAGAGTTATCTTCTCCTCTTTGTTATTCCATACGAGAGAGAGTCACATCAAATGTGAGTTTTCTATTTTGTTGATTAATTGTTGATTTTAAGGTTGGGTTATGATCATTAGAAGATAACTAAGCTTAAGGAAAGCTTAAGTTGTCTTATAATCAAAAGATGAAGAAGTTATAAGAAATTAAAGAAAACGAGTTTTTATATGAAATTATGGAAAATAGTTGATAAGTTGAATTTGAAGTTAAATTTGACTTGTCATCATGCTAATTAAGGAATATGAAGTGTTAGAATTGTATTTAGAACATATTGAAATTTGAGTATGATTCTTGATTTACATATGAGGGATAGGATTTTGAGGTTGTGGATGGTTTTCATGGATATAAATTGGTTTAAGTAATGGTTGTTAGGTTTAATGATATGGTAGGGGTTTAAAAATAGAAGAATTGAATGAAGAATTGATGATTTTCGGGCTTAAAATATAATTTATGGGTAGAGGGAACCGATACCCTATGAATGGGAATCGATTCCCCCTCTTGAACGAAAAATTCAAGTATGTTCAGGGGGTATCGATTCCCCTGGGAGGGGGATCGATTCCACCCTAAATGAAAAATGGAATTTGGTTCTTTAATTTGGTTTAAGTTGTTAACATCAAGTTTAAGGTTTATGCTTCTGATAGTTGTTTTGAAATGTTATATTTATGTAGATATTGAGTCTAAACAAGTTCCGGAATAATCAAAGGATTAGGATCGAATCAAAGCAAATAAGGCTAATGTGAGTGCAATTTTAATTGTACTTATATTATTGAACGAACATTGGCTTGCGATGAGCTAGTGATGGAGTTCCTATGGTAAGAAGTGACTCCTAAAATGTTATTTGATTTTTGATTCTTATATGTGCATGAATACATTAAATGAGTATAGGTTATTATATATGTTATATGATATGCATAGACATAAGAGCATAAAACATAAGATATATGATATGATATACATGATTATATGCATATGTGATATATGCTATGAGACATGACCAATGTGAAATGAGATAAGCTATTTGATATGATATGAAATACATGGTTACACATACATGTGGTATATGACAGTAAAGAAAGAACAAGTGATGAGAAATGTATTCATCGTAAATGCCCATAGTATATGATAAGAGAGTTATAGGTATAGTTGACATGCCAAGAGTCCAGGGTATTGTAGTCCTTCGGGACCTAGTGGTCCTACAGGACATATATAGCAGTCCTTCAGGACGAATACTGAATAAATGTTCGGTGCCCATGAGGGAATTTATACTAGCTGTGGTGACAGCATTAGTGCACAACCTCAATGTACTCACATACCTTTGTTCTCAACAACAATATACATGGGCAAGTGAAATATAAATTAAAGTGAAAGTGATGCAAAAAAGTAAGTTTCATGTGTGCATGACTTGGTTATATATGTCATATGAAATATATACATGCATATTGAAATATCATGATCAAATGGTAAGAATGCATATTCATGACTAAGTCTATGACTTAGCGTGTAAGTGATTTACACGTAGGTATCAAGAAACGAGAAGAGCAAGAATAGAAGTAGCAAGGACAGTATTATTACTAGAAGATCATATCAGAAGTAATAAACAAAGTAGGTATTTTGTAGTGTATAGAGTGTTGGTATGTAATAAGTCATTAATTATGAGCACTCTGATTGAGTTTGTATTTTGTGGTCTTTTTTATGTAAATCAATGTATTTTATTTTAAACAAAGTTTTAAATTATCGGGGTTTTTCTTTAAGAGTCAAAGTGACACCTCGGACTCGTATTCGAGTCGGGTACGGGTTGGGGTGTTACAGTTAATGGCATCAGAGCTAAGGTTTTGTCGATTCTCGGTATAAACCGGAGTCTAGAGTGTTTTATAAGGTATACATGCCAACAAAATAGTGAAAACTTCTGATCTGATGGAATAGTAAGTATACTGTTATGCTAATAGAACTATATGATTGTATCTTTATAGATGTCCGGACAAGGTAGTTATAGAAATGAAGTGGGAGATGATATACCCGCTGAAAACAGTAATTCACCTGCCCTAGCCAGACAGAGTGAAGAACAGACACCCTCTGGAGTGCATGTGAATGATCAAGATGTATTCTTTAGAACTTTAGATGCGGTATTGACGCGTTTTCAACCTCCTGTTACTTCAACTCCAAAAATGAATGTTACAAAAGAGTTGAAGGGTTTAGGAGCTCCAGAGTTTAAAGGGGAAGCCGATGAAGGTCCTGTTACAGCAGACCTTTGGCTTAATGATGTGAAAGTCATGCTTAAGGGACTTCATTGTTCCGATGCTGAAAAGCTAGATGGAGTGATTTCCTTGTTGAGAGGACAGACAAGGATTTGGTGGACCAATGTTACATTGAGGATGTCTAACAATCAAGTTACATGGTCATTGTTTTTAGAAGAATTCGAACATAAGTACATCGAAAATCAATTTGTTCGACAAATGAAGTAAGAGTTCATGAATCTGAAGCAATGGAATCACACTGTATATGAGTACGAGTGTGAATTCAATAAGTTGAGCCATTTTGCTACCGAGCTTGTTCCTACTGAGAATGATGCTTGTGAGTGGTTCGTAGAGGGGTTACGTCTTTGGTTGAAGGAAATGTTGATTGTCTTGAATTTATCTTCGTTTCAAGAAGTAATCAACCGTGCTAAAGCTCTGGAAAGAGCTCGAAACGAGAGATTTGAAAATTCAATGACTCAAACAGTCAAGAGAACGGGTGCTTCTTCGAGTTCTGTACAATCAAAAAGAGGCAGAGATGCTGGTTCTCGACCTCAAACTAGATCGGAGTCAGTGTTATCCTCAGCTAGAGGATCAAATTCAATGAGAGGCAGACAAACTCAATCAGTGGGATCTGGAGCTGGAAGATTTAACCAGAGCCAAGTCTGACAATGCCCACATTGTGGAAAAATCATTATGGGATATGTAGAATGATTTCTGGAGCTTGCTTTAGATGTGGGGACACCAGACATTTTGTTCAGGATTGTCCTAGGGTAGTTGATGAATCTGCACAGCCAGAGAGGTATATTTCTACAGGCCAAAGGGGAAGAAGTAGAGGTAGAGGAAGAAGTCAGTCAGAGTCCTCTGCTAAACAATAGATACGTTCCACTGCTCGAGTGTATAATCTCAGGACCAATGAAGATCGGGATGATCCGAAGATTATAACATGTACCTTTCCATTGTTTGATAAATATTTTTATGGTATTGATTGATACGGGGTCTACATATTCATACATTACTAGTAAATTAGTGAAAGAATTGAACATTCAATTATAAGCTACTAACAATGAGGTGATAGTGACGAATCCGTTAGGGCACAGTGCTCGGGTAAATATGGTGAGTCGAGGGTGTCCCATACGAATTCAGGGAATTGAATTCCTTGCTAATTTGATGGAATTACCTTTTGAAGTGATACTGGGAATGGATTGGTTATATCGTTATTATGCTAATGTCGACTGTAGACTGAAAAGAGTAACATTGAGAAGTCCGAAAGAGGTATAAATCGTGGTGTTTAGTGAAGGGTGGAATCCATTGGCAAATGTAATCTCAGTGATGACGGCAAAGAAGTTACTGT